ATATAAGGTGAGTAACAAAAGCTCATAATTTTGTATGTGCTAATTTTGTATATTGTGTATGTGCTAATTTTGTATTACTTTGTTTAGATCTCATTCAGTTTTATATTTTCCAAATGTAATTTTCGTTTATTTTTAATGTTTACAATGTACACAAAATATGTGTTATACTAATTTTGCGATCGCGTTCGATTTTTTTTGTGCGTTAATTATTTTGTGTTAAACATAAAAATTAGTATTATTTTGTAATAAACATATTATTTTGTTTTAAAATTATTTTCAAAACATATATTAACACTTATACACTATATATAACTTATTATAATTTTTAATTAATATTTCATGTATAACCCACGCAACGCGTGGGCAACTTTCTAGTATATATATATATATTAAAGAAAAAAAAAAGGGGGAAGAAAGTGGCAAAGTTTGAGTTGGACTATGACTTGGACCAAACATAAAACGTGATATCACTATCCAATAATTATCATTACCTCCACCTTCAAAGTTAAGATTTAAAATAATAATCATCCTCTCCTTCTACCTAGATCTCTCTATATATATATATGTTAGCCCATTGAGATAAAGATTTCACTCACCCACAAATCTTTAAACTCAAAAACCCTTGGAACCAAGAATAGTTCGTACAAAAAGAAAAAGAAAAAAAAGATCTTCAAGGTGATGAAACCGGCAGAAGAAATGCCGACAGAGCCATTCAAGGAGGAGACAGAAGAACACCACTTTGGCAAATTTCCCCATCGGTTTGTTTAGCTTTGGCCATGAGAAGCGAGAGAAGACAAAAACTTTTCTTTTTGATCTTATGGTAACAGGCAAAACGGCAAGTCATATATCGGCATCAGGCTCGTGTTCGAGTTCCTTCTATTGGTTTTGTTTTCCGTGGTATCATCGATCTTGAGCTCTTTTTTAAGATTCGTATTTATACTACGGAAATCGAATCATCTTTTAAATTATTATATGTACGATGAGAAAGAAGATTATCATTTGGATCGTCTTGTGATGTGTGTTTCTTTCCACTGTACGTGTTGTTGTTGGTAATAAAACTGGACTATGTTTACTCTTAATTGTGTCTCTTTATTAATTTACATGTTTCTATATGATTTTCTAGAAACTTAATTATTCTGCTCCTCTTGTATACGGAAATCTTCACCGTCCCTAAATTGTTTGTTCAATGGTATTTTCTTTTTATTAAGGAAACATCTACATCATATATGTACTAATGGAAAAACTAATTTCATGGTTTATGGAAAAAACATATGTTTGGTATAAAGGAGAAACCCATATACATGAAAGTAGACTAATATTGTACCGGACTACTACCAAAGTCAAATATGTATTATTAACTGTCCAATTGAAACTTTTGTGGTACTATTATGCGGTTAATAATTATGTCTCTAATATTATCAAAATTTTCTCTCTACAAAATAAATAGTTCGATATACTTTTATGCTAATAATGCCAAAATAAAATATCCAACCAACGAAAAGTTGATCAGTATACGAGTTCTTTTAACCCTTAATCATTATAGTACCACAAAAACGTATGTATTTGTACATTCAAAATTTTGGTTTTGGAAGCTACCAGAGTCGTCTGTCTTAAAGTTTCATATATTGTGAGTTGAATCTTACGAATTACTCCTATACATATTGTGAGTTGTGACGACCCATATATGTACGTTACAAAGAAAATACAATTTTTTAATATTTTAACTTTAATGATCAATCACAGATATATATGGATTGTCATTTTCTTTACAAAGAAAACACATTTTTTAAGTATTTTAATTTTAATGATCAATCACAGATATATAATATATATATGAATTGTCATTTTCTTCTTTTTTGACTTTCTCTAGTTGAATATGTATTTGAAATTTATGTACTTGAATTGGAATATATTTAACCAAAAATAAATTTGGTAAATCCAAATTTTCTATTTAATTTTTTTGTCAGTATATGTCAATATCATTTTTTACCTATAGTTTTAAAGATTTTTTTCCTATAAAACTTGCTTGCCAGCTTTATAAATAATAATATTACAAACTAGTAAAGTATATACATGCATTCCTAAATTGTATTTATTACTTCTACTTCAGTCGAATTTCTTTACTTCTTTATTACATTGGCATAAAGATAAAACAAAAACAAGGTCTATATGCCATACTCATAGTTTTCAGTTACATACCAAACTAGTTGTATATATATGGCCACTATCAACAGATGATAAATTTTAGTCCCTTCTCCCTCGATCGTCACGTTTCAATATTATACCTCTTCCAAAAGTTCCCTTAAACTTCCTCTTTTATATAATCTGATCTCGTACCAACTCTCTCTACTCCCTTTCCTCTCTCGTTTACTTCAGATTCTATCCACCCAAAAGTGAAAATTAATGCAGCCGTTTGGGGATCCAGCAACAGAAGCCCTGGCAGCAGCGACCAAGAAGGAGAAGGAGCGGCCAAGTGTGTCATTTCTTAAGCTCTTCTCCTTTGCTGATCTCTACGATTGTGTTCTGATGGCTCTTGGATCCATTGCTGCGTGCATTCACGGAGCCTCCGTTCCAGTTTTCTTCATCTTCTTCGGGAAACTCATCAACATCATCGGTCTTGCTTACCTCTTCCCGCAAGAAGCTTCTCATAAAGTCGCCAAGGTCCGTACCCTTTAGTACTCTTATCTTTTATATATGACCAGATTTGCAGTTAAGGAGTAACGTTTTGAACTTGGCCACTAGAATTAACACGACGAGTCACGTATCCTAAAGAGGTTTGAGATTTTAATAAATCAAAATTTGCTAAAAACTAAACTTATCATATTCTTAGGCTCAAATCTGGTCAAATGCTATTTAATTCATATGTTGAAATACATATCTTGACTAATCTCTGTAAGTTTTATTTCTTTGGTTGTGCAGTACTCTTTGGATTTTGTATATCTAAGTGTGGTGATACTCTTCTCATCATGGATAGGTAAATAACATAGTAATAAAGAATGCATTAAAGCAAACATGATTATTTTTATATTTTTTTTACGATAACAACACAAAATAAAATAAATGAATGGAAACAGAGGTTGCATGCTGGATGCATACGGGAGAGAGACAAGCGGCGAAGATGAGAAAAGCTTATTTGCGGTCAATGTTAAGTCAAGACATAAGCTTATTCGACACCGAATCTTCCACCGGAGAAGTCATCTCTGCCATCACCTCCGACATCCTTGTCGTCCAAGATGCTATCTCGGAGAAGGTACGCGCTATATTGGTATTGGTTGTGCTTTCCTAGGTGCACTGGTCTTAATCAGTTCAATGAATCTAATGAATTACATAATTCCGAAATCGTTTTCCTAAATTTTTTGATTTTTAGTTATTTAATTTTCCTCAAGCATGCGCTATAATAAGTTGTCTAGTCCTATTCAATAAGTATGGTCTGGACGAATGCATAGTCTATTAATAATAAAAGTTTTTGCATGCATAACTTAAACTGTGTCTGTGTGGTCACCTAAATCAGGTTCACAGTATATGATAACCGGGTTATATCATTTTTGATGCAGGTAGGGAATTTTTTACACTACATAAGCCGGTTCATAGCCGGTTTTGCGATCGGATTTACAAGTGTATGGCAAATAAGTCTCGTCACTCTCTCCATAGTCCCACTCATCGCTCTCGCTGGCGGTATCTACGCTTTTGTCGGCACCGGACTTACCGTGCGTGTCCGAAAATCATACGTCAAGGCCAACGAGATCGCAGAAGAGGTTTAGTAACTTTTCAAACAAGAAAACTATATGTATGTGAATTTTATTTCTTTTGTATAACTCTAATTTCATATCTCTTTCTGTTTCAATTCAGGTGATCGGGAATGTGAGGACCGTACAAGCCTTCACGGGAGAAGAAAAGGCAGTGAATTCATACCAAGGAGCTTTGAAGAACACTTACAATTACGGAAGAAAAGCTGGTTTAGCCAAAGGACTAGGACTTGGTTCGATGCACTGTGTTCTGTTTTTATCTTGGGCTTTGCTTATCTGGTACACAAGCATCGTTGTTCACAAGGGAATCGCTAATGGCGGCGAATCTTTCACGACCATGCTCAACGTTGTCATCGCTGGCTTGTAAGATACAACTTCTTGATAGCTTGCTCTACACATTCCCCTTGTTACTTTTTTTGTTGTTGTTGATCTATAAAGTCTCTGTTTCTGGGGGTTTTGTACAGGTCTCTTGGTCAGGCGGCTCCAGATATTTCCACATTCATAAAAGCGAGAGCTGCTGCATATCCGATTATTCAGATGATTGAACGGAACACGAATGTGAAAACAGGTCGCGAACTCGGGAAAGTAGTTGGAGACATCCAATTTAGGGACGTGACTTTCACCTACCCGTCTCGCCCTGACGTGGTGATCTTTGACAAGCTAAACCTTGTTATCCCTGCGGGTAAAGTTGTGGCTCTTGTCGGAGGAAGTGGGTCTGGGAAAAGCACCATCATATCTTTAATTGAAAGGTTCTACGAGCCTACCGAAGGGGTGGTGATGCTGGACGGCAACGATATCAGATACTTGGATCTCAAGTGGCTAAGAGGACACATTGGTCTGGTTAACCAAGAGCCTTCCCTGTTTGCAACCACCATTCGTGAGAACATTATGTATGGTAAAGACGATGCCACCGCTGATGAAATTACCCATGCTGCAAGTCTCACTGAAGCTGTTTCATTCATCAACAACCTCCCGGATGGATTCGAAACCCAGGTCCGTCAAAAGAGGATTGCTTGGAATACAAGAAATTCACAACTAGAAACCCTAACTTTTGCTTGCTATTTGGTATTACAGGTAGGTGAGAGAGGGATTCAGCTATCTGGCGGACAGAAGCAGAGGATCGCGATTTCGAGAGCGATAATGAAGAATCCGTCGATACTCTTACTTGATGAGGCAACAAGCGCACTAGACGCAGAGTCAGAGAAAAGCGTGCAAGAAGCTTTGGACAGAGTGATGGTTGGGAGGACGACGATCGTGGTGGCTCATAGACTCTCTACCGTAAGAAATGCTGACATCATAGCGGTCGTTGGAGGAGGGAAGATCATCGAGTCCGGAAGCCACGACGAACTCATCTCCAACCCTGATGGAGCTTACTCTTCTCTCCTTCGTATCCAAGAAGCTGCCAGACCTAACTTGAACCACACTCCAAGCTTACCAATCAGGTACCAATTGTACTTGCTTATACCGGTTTTAACAAATCTGATCCACACCAAAACCTTCATGTGTATGAAATACAAATCGAAAAGAAGATTTAGACTGAAACTTTTAAAAAAAAAATATACCCCTGTTTTTGTTTGCAGTACAAAACCCTCGCCGGAACTACCAATAACAAAGACGGACCTTTTCACCGTTCATCAACATGTAAAACAACCGGACACAAGTAAACATGCCAAAGTAACGTTGGGACGTTTATACTCTATGATACGTCCAGACTGGAAGTACGGATTCTGTGGTACGTTAGGTTCCTTTGTCTCGGGAGCTCAAATGCCGCTTTTCGCGCTTGGGATCTCAGACGCTTTAGTATCTTATTACATGGACTGGGATACAACTCGAAACGAGGTCAAGAGAATCTCTATCCTCTTCTGTTGTGCCTCCGTCATCACTGTCATCTCCCACATTATTGAGCACACCAGCTTTGGTATTGTGGGTGAGCGTCTCACTCTTCGAGTCCGACAAAAGATGTTTACAGGTACTCACAAACACAAAAACGTGTCTAAATCCTACGATTAGTTGCCTTTACATTGGTTGATTTAATTATGTGATTGTGTTTCTTCTTGGTTCAGCGATCTTGAGGAATGAAATCGGGTGGTTTGATAAGGTCGATAACACTAGCTCTATGTTGGCCTCGCGGCTTGAAAGTGATGCGACTTTACTTAAAACCATAGTGGTCGATAGATCCACGATTCTACTGGAGAATTTAGCTCTTGTTGTGACATCTTTCATCATTTCCTTTATACTAAACTGGCGTCTCACTCTTGTTGTCTTGGCCACATACCCTTTGATTATAAGCGGTCATATCAGCGAGGTAAAACAAAGCTTTTTTCGTTCTTTTTTAATAAATTTCTACTGTTAGGGTATGTACTTTTTTTTCTGGCTGCCATTTATGTTTTTTTTCTTGGTTTCTTTTGTTAGAAACTTTTCATGCAAGGCTATGGAGGGAACTTGAGTAAAGCGTATTTAAAGGCTAACATGTTGGCCGGAGAGTCTATTAGCAACATCCGAACTGTGGCCGCCTTTTGTGCTGAGGAGAAGGTTTTGGACCTTTATTCTAAAGAGCTTCTAGAACCTTCCAAACGTTCTTTCAGGCGTGGGCAGGTGGCCGGGATTTTGTACGGTGTTTCTCAGTTCTTTATCTTCTCCTCCTACGGCCTTGCTCTCTGGTATGCATATAAAACAGTTCCATACATAGTATAAGACTGTGAAGATAGATTGAAATTTTAAATGTTTTTACAGGTACGGTTCGATTTCGATGGAGAAAGGATTATCAAGTTTCGAATCTGTGATAAAAACATTCATGGTTTTGATCGTAACGGCGTTAGTGATGGGTGAAGTGTTGGCTCTAGCCCCGGATCTGCTTAAAGGAAACCAGATGGTTGCTTCAGTTTTCGAGTTACTGGACCGAAGAACTAAAGTTGTTGGAGATACTGGCGAGGAGCTAAGTAACGTGGAAGGCACAATTGAGTTGGAAGGTGTTTACTTCAGTTATCCTTCACGCCCCGATGTGACTATTTTCAGTGATTTTAACCTAAAAGTTCCTTCCGGCAAAAGCATGGCGCTTGTGGGGCAAAGCGGGTCAGGGAAAAGCTCGGTCCTTTCGCTCATTCTCCGGTTCTACGATCCTACAGCCGGAATAATCATGATAGATGGTGAGCCAGCTCTTGACACATTAATAATTTTACTCACAAGAAACTCCAAGCACCACAAGTTTCTTGCATCATAATCAATTTGTTATGTGGTTTGAGTAAGCTGATTTTTTTCCCAACCCCTACAGGACAAGACATAAAGAAGCTGAAACTTAAATCAATGCGAAGACACATTGGTCTGGTTCAACAAGAACCTGCTCTTTTTGCAACGTCGATTTATGAGAACATCTTGTACGGTAAAGAAGGAGCTTCTGAATCTGAAGTCATGGAAGCAGCTAACCTTGCAAACGCTCACAGCTTCATCAGTTCTCTCCCGGAAGGTTACTCAACAAAAGTTGGTGAACGAGGCATTCAGATGTCAGGTGGCCAGCGACAGAGGATTGCTATAGCTAGAGCCGTCCTCAAGAATCCAGAGATTTTGCTCCTTGACGAAGCCACAAGCGCCTTGGACGTTGAATCAGAGCGTGTGGTATGTAATCTTTTCATTAAGATTTAGAGTTTGACACAAGATTTTTTCTACAGAGACTTACATGTTTATACTAATGAATTGTTAGGTCCAACAAGCATTGGATCAGCTCATGAGGAACCGGACCACCGTGGTGGTAGCTCACCGACTATCAACAATCAAGAACTCAGATATGATTAGTGTAATACAAGAAGGTAGAATCATAGAGCAAGGCAGCCACAGTAGCCTCGTTAAGGACAAGAATGGTCCTTACTCTAAACTTATCAGTCTTCAGCATCAGCAGCAAAATAATCCTTAGGAATGATTATTGAATTGTCAAAACTCTTGTATGTTTTTTTCTTCAAAATTTTGATTTATTCAATATGATTATGTTACTCATCCTTATGCTATTATCTTGATTCATCGGTCTCAAAACGGAACCTCTAACCTTAGGAGATAATCAGATCAAAAGACAACAGAACAAAAAATTAACAAGAGTAACAACGATTTATTGAATCTGAGGAAACCTTCGGGAGAAAGAGAATCGAACGACAAGACATTTCAAGAAGAAGCAGTTATTAGCTTAGCTTAGCTTGAGTAATTTTGAACACAAAGTAGATAAAGGTTCTAAAAACCAAAGGTGCTGAGAGAAGCTTAGGCTGCTGCCGTGATGTACTCGATTGCCTCCTTGCAGATACCAGTCATAGTTGCTTCTGGACCGTAAACCTCAATGGGAACACCGATTTCATCTCCAAGGGATCGCATTTTAGCAAGTCCCTTTTGGTAATTTGGTCCTCCTCTTCTCACAAATATATGCATCCTTGCTGCTTTCAGCTTTGATTCCTGCAAGGAGGCAATCGAGTAATTGACAAAAGATGTTTTGCTTTTCATCCCTTTAGTCAGTACTGAATCTGAGAGAAGCTCAAGGTTTCTTTACTTACCTTTTCTTTAAGAGCGCGGATTATGCCATTGAAAGTAGCAGCAACGTCAGTGAAGTTAGCAATTCCGCCTCCAATCACAAGAGCTCTGGTTTTTCCATCCGGGTTCGCTGTAGCACACTGCAGTATTGTATTGTTTTTAATCAGTCACATGAAAGAAATGTCCAATGGAGGGAGAAATAAGCTAATCTTACATCGATAACGACCCTGGCATACTGCAAAACCTCATCTTCTTTGGGTGCTCCACTGTATTCAGCATAGTTGCCAAGTTCAGATGCATACCCAAGATCTCCAACCTGAAATAAACTTTTTTAATGTTGGACTTGTTTATGGGAAAAAATGCAGAGTCTCAGTAATGATTCTTTAGGGAACATACGGTATCGGCATAGATGACACTTGCTCCTCCACCAGCTACCATTGTCCAAATCCGTCCCTTGGGATTCAGCACGGTAAACTTCAAAGACGCACTTGTCTGCCAACACAATAGGTGCTCTTATTAGTCACAGAATGATGAACCAGACAGACGTTTTGATTATATTAATGTCACAACGATGATACCTTTTCATCCAGTCCGTGGATAAAGCTTTCTGTGGGACTCATTACCCTTCCAAATGGCATAGGAAATTCAATGTCGCCCCATCTGCAAGTTCGAGGGATTAGTTATAACTTATGTGCACATTCTCAAAGATCTTAAGCACAACGAGTTGGGAACTCTGGGAGTCAAACTTACTTTTTAAAGTTTTTGAAGGCGGCAGTATCATCAAGCTCACCCCTCATATCAAGAGGATAAGGACTTCCATCAACTAGAGTGAAAGGATTCATCTCCAAGAAAGTGAAATCAAGATCTAGTACACCAAAGAAAATAACAAAAAGTGCTTAGTTTTTATCACAGTAAAGGAGATTTGATCTGTATGTATGGTTCAGCTATCCTTGGCATACCTTGGAATAGGGTGAAAATGACTTTGATAAATTCTTCAATTTCAGCCTTAATCTGTTCATGGAAATGTTCTAAGTCCAATTTCTATGTCAGGTTCACACCCTATAATCCAATTAAAAAGAGTCGATTACCTCTAAGGGAAGAGTTGCCACAAGTGGTGCACATACTTCAGGTGTCAAGGAAGCACCTGTTGGCAAAAATATTGTCTTGACCTGAAGAAATTGGAGAGACAGCAAAATTTTCATCATTATGATACAAGATACTGAATTAGACATTTGAACAAAAAATCTCTTCCAAAATACCTTGTCCCAGTTCTCCTCGATCTCAATACCTCCACACTCAGAAAAGCTTATGCTGTCTCCAAGCCTATCCGAGACAACATTAAGATAATACTCGTCACTGTGTGGAACAAATGGTTCAACTATGAATGTTGTTATGGGTCCTTTGCATCCACTCATCTCTACCTGCAGATAGTAGATGGAAGATTGAGTGAAGGTGGTCTCAGGAAAATGGCTGAGAAGCACAGAAAACAAAAAATGTTACCTCTTTACCCAAACGCTCTTTCACGAAAGTGGCAACATCAGCAAAATCTAATTTCAAGGCAACCAAACCACTCTTCCCACGCTTTCCAAACAACATATCAGGTTTCACCACCAGCTTCTCAGACGAGAGCCAAGGTTCCTTTTCTACTAGCTCATTTAAATCAGTAGTTTCATTAATCTGCACATAGGAGAACATGGAAAAAGAAAATAGACTTCTATGATATTGAACATCTGCTCTATGTCGGAGAAACCAATGTGCTAACCCCAGATAGCTATAAAAAAGACAAGATCCAAACCTGAACGGATCTGATAGGAAGCTCTTTGCCGGAAAGCCTTTTGAAGTGTTCCTTCACCAATCTCTTTGAGTCATACTCTCTGATCTTCTTCCTTGCCATTTCGATACAAAAACTGCAGAAAAACAAAAACACAATAGAAACGAAGATCAAAAACCCACCGCGAAACTTATAAATCTGACAGATCCAGAGACAGAAAAAACACAGATAACTCGTTTCCGAATCAAATCCGCTAACGATTCAAACCCAGATTCCAAAAAAGTCGAGACACGAGAAGATGGGTTTCAGCCAAATGATAACACGCAATGAGATTGTGAGTAATACATACACGAAAAAGCTCTCAAATTCCAAAGAAGCAAACGAGAATGTTCACAAAATTGGAACAATGAAAATGGTGGATCTTAATTCTTACCGTTGTGACAATCACAATGCCTTGTTCACACTCACAGAGGTTGGGGTAGTTAGCTCAACAACTAGACTCTTCTTTGCCTTGCATTCTTATCGACCATTTATAGTTGCAACTTACACCCTCTTTATTATTGACTTTTTTACAGCGAGTAATAATATTTCATAAGATTAGCAAAAGACTTTGCAGCTACGCATCCCTTACAAAAAAAAAGCTGGTGGATGTTCAGTTGTTCATTCAATTTCAAGAGTATGCCACCTAACTCGTAGACGTACGTTTCAACTTCAACCATTCGATTTGTGTCACATATATTAAACCACTTTTTTATATTTGAAGAAAAAAAAATATACCCCCGTAATTGTTTGTACAATCTTTACAACAATTTGTATCACGTATATTAAAGAGACTTGTATATAGCCTTACACGATTTAACAAAACCTCAGTAGACGTTTTGGAGTGTTGGATATTTTGGATCACTCTTCTTTCTTCTGGCTAGCCTCTTATCTACAAAGAGGGTTTGACTTTCAACTTGACTTTGACCTTGACCATGACCTTTGTCTCCCCATATGTGTGTTATCTAATCCTCTAGTGAACAAGAATCTCAACAGATGGAATATGAAAATTGAATTCATGGCAACCAAAACTTTCACGAGTTGTGACGTTGTAGCAAGTAATTCTTCAGCTTTATGACCAAAGCAAAAACTGCAAAGCATGGTATATGCATCACTGCCACTCCCAAGTACCTGCACAAAGATCATAATAATTGTTTTCTTTTTACATCGTTGAACTTGATTTTTATTGGAGCGTTTAAGCAATACCATACTAAGTGTGGAGAGTTTTATAAACGTACCATAAGGGTGCGTATGGTGAAGACAGATCAAGAAATTGGTATGGCCACCTGCAAAAGATGTAGAGCAAGAACCCTTATAACTCTTAAAAGACATAAGCGGACCATTTCCAGTAGACATATGGGGTCAAAATGATGGAAATTTTTGCCTCTATGAAGATAAGAAAACAGAAGAAAAGTCTACCATAAGTTCTTGAAGGCATGGATTATCCATTGGTAAGCCACGAAAATGCAGCTCCAAAGTACAAAGTAAGAGATCCGAAACAGTGGGAACCGCTGGATAAGGGAGAAAGAAGTTTCCCATTAGGTTTTAATAAAAAGGCGGAGATTCGTGTATCAACAGACTTCCATTTTGAAAACTTACCAAGGAACTGAGGCTTGTGTCACCGAGGAGGAAAACAGCGTTGAGAGAATGCATACAAACATCAAGCTGCACTCGAAATAACACACAAGGGATAAATATATCTGTTGTTGACTTCTTAATAGCAATGCCCGAAAAAAAACAATAATATCAAAGGAATCCAATTTCAAAAAAAATGGGATTGGGATTGGGATTAGAGTCAGAACTTACAAAACTCAGTCTATAACCTTTAGCAAACGGGTAGAGTAACGCCCAAAACACGATATCTGTTAACACAACAGCACCTGCACAAGTCTGCCACAACAGAAAACTTTGTTAGACATTTTGAAGCTATGAGATGGCATACAGTTAGAAAAGAAAAAGACACGTACTTGGAAAAGGATCTGAAAGATGTAAACCCAAAACCCAGCTGTTTCTCTGACAGGTGCTTCTGAATGTGTATTGGGGGATTTAGACGTGTTTGCCGTCCCATCAAGGGTTATTGGTGGTCTATAAGTGCCTTGTTCTGCATCACCTATACTTGTATAACTCTCCTTGTTTCCACCAGCTTTTTTATTGTAGACGCAGCATCCATATATAGATAACAAGGAAGCATACTATGAAAAAAAAATCACAAATTTAGTGCCTAAAACTAAGACGGTAACTTCAAACATTGGAATTCCCAGGAGATATACCCCAAAGTAGAGTGTAACAAGAGCAAATGTCCACCTGTTACAGCAAAAAGATTGGATTTTTGTCATTAATTTTAAAGAATCAGATATGAGAGAAGGAAGTTGAATGATGTAAACTCACTGAGTATAGAAGTAAAATATGCCGCCTCCATCACGCACAACATTGGAGATGAGCAGAGACAGCATTGCAACAAATGAGAATACTCTAAAGGCAAGCAACCAAAGAGGGTGGATCCTTTTAAAACATGTGGTCCAAGCTTCGTCTTGGAACAATGTCCCAGGTAATGCTCGCTGGCCCTCGCGCTGTCTTCTCTTGCCTTCATATCTCCAAATCAGAATTGCCGCTAAAACTAGTGGGGCTAGGAGGATTAATGCACAGAGGAGAACCCTCCAATTCAACCAGTAACTTGAAGCTGTTGTATCAGCAGCCATGGCCAGTCAATAGAGTCCTAAGAATTCACCAAAAGCAATGAAGAACATTATCACTATGAAACATTACACTTTTGTGTTGCAAAGGGTGAAGAATGTCTCTGTAACAATTCACAAAGACTTAAGGAATTTGAACTATTCACAATACCGCAAAATAGTGTAAAAGGTTAGACCTTTTTGCACTAACTAACAAAAATAAGAATAATTGGAACAAGAACTTGCGATAGAGAAACTTTTTCAATATTTCTGAATCAAAAAATTGCCACAAGCTATTATATCGAGGTAGATAACATAGAGTAGTAGTAACAGAACAAAAAAAAGAGGTAAATCCTAAAATACAGAAGATTACTTGGCGATTCGAGTTCAAGGAGACTCTCTTCTAACGCATCCTCCCAACGAAACGAAGATGCTGAGAGCCTCCAGAGAGCGACCAAGACACCAGAAGGGAAAAAGGAGAGATCTTTGTCGGGATTATTATTAGTTGGCTGGGAGATGAAGAGAAAGATAGAAACTTTTGTCGTGCACAACGTTTATGCGATCTAAACGGAATCGCCACAAATCGCAAATAAAATTTTACAAGCCCGGTTATGTTCGGTTTAAGATATGTGCTCTCATCCGTATTTTGTCGGTTTTACCAACCCACGCGGCCACGCCACAATAAGAAACCGAAACAGGTGACCGCAATTGCTTCTTAACCATTCTTAAACCGTAGATAACCGGACTCTAATATGTATCTACTTTTTTTTTTTTTTTTTGTCGTCAACTTATCTTCTTTTCATTAGATGTTTAAAGCCCATAAAGGGATACATGGTGTAAGGAGCCATACATAATAATAAACCCAATTAACCCAATAAGATAGTATAATCAAAAAAGTAAAATGGGTCAATAAGGGACACATGCTACACACGTGTAGATGCATACGATGGTGTGGATGAACGCTCCACCGACTCATCACCGCTTTCAGACCAGAACTGAAACACGAACAGATCATGATTTTTACGAACAACAAATCACCTTAATAACAAAGGGGATCCATCATATTTCAGCTTTGACTCCAAATTCACCAAGGTCTTTTGCAGCTTTCTCCGAGTATGAAGAAATCAGAGAACTTGAATCTTCAGATTTATTAATTCCCGGAAGATGTGAGAAAGTGAGATATTAGATTAGTCGCAAAACACGCTCTCCTAACCTATTCTTCACCAGCCACTGTGTTCCACTCATCACGATTTACAAACTTTAAGGAGAAACCTTCATCCTTTGCCAAGCATATGGCATCAAAGGGATATGAGGATTTACTCTCCTCTTGATTTGAATCGAGCACTCTGATGATCAAAATCTCTGAACTACCACTCGGCTTAGATCTCCTTAACATGAAAGAGATCTCTTGTCTCTGCAAAAGGAAGAAAAAAAAAACAAAAATAAAGAAAATAGCTATAAAAGCCAAGAAAAACTCACACAAAGGTGAGAAAGATAAGCCGGATTTAACCGGAAACAAAAAACTGACAATAAATTGCCAGAAATTTTTATAGGAGCTTCATCTCTCTGAAAGATATGAGAGAGAGAAGAGAGAGAAGCCCAACTACATATATGTATCTACTTTTGTTACAGAATTTTATTGCTTTATTTTATTTTATTTTGCTTTATTATGTGTGTGTGTTTAGGACGAATATGCTCAAATATCCAGTTGTTGTTGTCCAACATGTTTAATAGAATATATACTGGAACCACTTTTCATGTCCCAATTTTTAAGTTTGTATGTTCGGACCGGATTGATCTTTTTGTTTTGCTGGTTTAATCTTTGTGAATTCAAGTGACCATCATGGGTTTCTGTTAAAAAAAACAAAAGTGCTACATACAAATAGCAAATAATTGGCGTATAGACTATAGAGCCTCTTGTTATTCAGGGTTGTCAATAGACATAGACTGCATCTTTAAAAGCAACCTTAAAAAAAAGTTTACACAAGAAAATTAATGCTTCTCGGTTTAATCTTATAGTATAACGTTTAAATTTATAATAAGGTCTACATATAATAATAGCATACATGTTTCAACTTAGGAATAGGGAAATTTAAATAAGCCTAGGTCTACATATAAAGTTCAAGCGTTATCTCCTATATCAATATCTTTTTTTTTTTTTTTATCAATATCTTATCTAGCCTATACCAAAGTCTTCACTAGTTCACTGTATCCTTCGCGCAAACCTCGGCGATCTCCGGACATGTCCGCCTGATAAATAAAATAAATGATTAAAATAAAAGAGAAAGTCTTCATCCAAATCGTTTTAAACAACATAATACCTTGATATTGGCTGAGAAATTCAACTAAAAATAATTAACAAATAAATGAAAACATAAAAACCCACAAAATCTTACTTAGGAAGGGCCTAGGAGAGACGAAATGGCCATACGTTTCAAAGAAGTCCTTATTTTCTCTTTGGAGTCCTCTCCATACTACCAAACAGAAAACATTCATTTTATAGTATGTGTCGAATATATGAAATTATGAATGATGAACATGCCTGATGCTCCAAGAAACTCTTAACAATACTAGCTACTCTCAAATTATTTGACTTTTTTTTCTCCATATATATCGACATATCGTTATCATTTGACGTTGCGAAATCGAAACCAACATCTGATATCAATCTTAAAACATGTTTAACGAACCCTTCGAAACAATTTGGATACATATACATATTGTGAACAGGAAATATGCTATCTATGTAATAATATTGTTGTAAAGACTAACCGGTGAGCGTAACGAGTGGTAGAATGCTTGCGTGGTGGTCTAACGCCTTGACGCACTCATCACGATTCATACGGAGTAGAATGCACCTCTCTATCAGATGTTGAACCTAACAATAACCAATTCCACTAAATTATGGTGAGGATTATTATAACACAATATAAACTTTATATGGGTGTGTGTCAGTGTGTATGTACCATGCGGATGTATGTATGTGGTTGGCAGTGGAGACAAGGAAGTTTGTGTTGTGATTCATCATGATGAGTACACATTATCTTGCTCTTGATCACTCCTTTGAAGATCGTTCTTCTTCTTCTTCTTCGATCTTCTATTGATTTTGGGGACAAATCCAAGAACTATGGAAGAGAATTATTATGATTTTATAGCGGAAAGGAACAAAACATGAAGATATTTTCTGTGACAAAATTAGGAAGCTTCTAAATATAGATAGTTAGATACACATGCATATACACACGCAGATACACATGTGGAGGTATATTGGATAGTGTCATTTAATGAGTTATCCAAGAGAGATCCAAGTGAAGGGCTAAAAATAGAGGAGAGGATCCAAAGGATAGATTCTCTATCCATCACTTTTTCAACTTGGATCACATATTTTTTATTTTTTTGGGTTGGAACTAACTTCTCTTTTGACTATGACTTCACACTTTACCTTTGTTTTTTTCTTACTTTCTGGGACATAGGTTCTCAACCAAACTTTAATTAGGGTTCCTTTGTTGGTTTGTTTAAATAGGCAAGTTAAATGGGATTTTGATTGATTACAAAGACTAATTAACGGACAATATATATACTTTTGGCAGCTTTAGCTCGGTTCAACTTCTTCCAAACCAATAGAATTGATCATTCAGTATTCGAACTCCAAAACTTGAATTTCATTTATTGTCGGTCGGTCCTGCCGATATTGCAGCAAATCTGACACTATTCTAACCCAAACCGAGATGTTATCCCTATATAATTAACTTTTGCCATAGAAAAAAAAAACAAATTTAACATTAACAACATTTGCTAAACCTTATCAGTCCATCGATATCTGCCTGACTGCCTTCAAACGTTAACATATCACACAAAAGTGACTGGTCCCTCGCAAACGTTACCTTTTGAAATGTGTGGCCAACCCAATGCCACTTAAATCATCACTACACGACAAGTTTTTGTGTGTGTATAGACTATGGAGGCAAATTGAAAGTTAAACTATGAGGCTCTCCGCAAATTTAGTAGATTAGTGTGTGGTTTTTGTGACTTGGCGAGTCCTTGTGTGTGTCTTCAATGGCCCCTAAGTCTACCAACCTGCAGGTCTCAACTCTTGTGCAATTACGGTAACTGCATGCGCTCTAATGTTATATAAAATTAAAATCAATATTCTTTAACAAATGCAATTTGGCTTTGGTTCACACTATGGCCTAATTGAGCTTTGAAATGACGTTGCCGGAGGTTTTATATCAATAAGTGTTTTATTTTGTGGTTGTGGAAAGAATAAAAAAGTAATCGTTAAGGCATGTCAATATACTGAGTCATCATAATCGTCCACATCTTGAACAACCAAGTGGTTTCAGATATGGCTAGAGTACTAAATCAAACTTCGTACACGAAGAAAAACTTACATCAAACTACCTAGTTAAGACCGCCATATAATGAAAGCATTAGCACCTATTCGTCTGCATGCAACATATTAGCAGCCTACGCCAAGAGAATATATACACAATCAAAACATGACGAGAAGTAGAGACTCAAACATATAAGAGGCAAATAGACACTACCTTCACAAGGATTAGAAAAGGGACTATAATTAAGATATTTAATGAATGTGAACAACCGAAAAAAAGATCAAACATATTACTACGATTCTCTGGAAAATTGTTATAATAATATGAAGATGATAATATATACACATGAAACTTTATAATAATGGGTACAACAAGACTTAACAATACTAGGATATATTTCGTCTCTAGATATGTATGCAACAATTATTCCGGTCTAGAAGGTGGCTCCTATGAATATGGCAGGAAAGACTAATTCTTCCATTGATTGAAGAGCAAATAATTAAATCCCTTCCACATATATATATCCCCAAATCATGGATGGCTAACTTCATTACGGAACCTTTTGGAAAACATACCAAACCATCAACCATGCATGAGTGGCTTCTACTTTTCAGAGTTGTCAAGCGGGCCGGCCGGACTAATCAGTTTGCCAGAACAAACCAATCATACAATACATTAAATACTGATTTAGAACGTTACAACAAAACTTATTGTTTATACAGTTCCAAGATATATTATAAATAAAATATAATATGCTCTGGTTTCAAATGTTTGAACGGGAAAAACCTGATAATACCCGTAGTTTGGTAAATGAAATTAGGTTCTACTAATATTTTTGAGTAAGACTAGTGAAAACAAAAAATTTCATTTGCTATATACTACGAATTTTTCAGTATTACAGTTTCAAAAACTAGTTTTGGTAAACGACAAGAAAAGAGAAAGGTTTCTTAGTACCTACCTACATCCTTTTTAATTTTGGTTGGTTCACGTTCAATTCCTTTGTTACATAATGTTCAACAGCAGTTACAATATATTAGACCGTCAATAATGACATACAAAAATTCAAAATTGTAGGATCTTTTATTCAGGCCTACTAGAGAGAATCACTCAATGTGTAAACAACAACTTGAAAGGAAAGCAAAGGGTATGCAGTGGACATAGTCAATAAAGCTAATTTTTTGTATAAGGAAGGGAGCATCCTATAACAAATCTTTCAACCAAAATATTAATTGGATATCGTGTAAACGTTACAAAAAAAAAAATAGTACACATAATAATAAATTGGTTGCGTCTGTGTGGTTGCAACCACTAACCTTTTTCTTTTTTTCAAACACGCATTTGAATTATATTCCCTCATGTTTTTTTTTTTTTTGATAAGTTAACATATTCCTATTTTTTACTTATCTTTACCAAAGGTTATACTAGTATTGCATAGTTTCGAAGTAAGTAACAATAATAATAATTGCATCCGACAAAACTGGCGTGCGACGGTTTGGTCCGGTCCACGAGTTCCCAGAAAGACACGGTAACTCTTTACTTAACTTAACTAACAACAAACAACTCCAACGCTTCTTCTTCTTCTTTCCTCCCTCCCCGCCAAAACACTTTACCCGCCATATTTGCCCAACGACCAGGCGCGTGTATCTCACTCGCAACTAAACAGCTCTTTCCTATTCTGACTGAGAGAGAGAGATCACGGCGAAACACGTTCTCCGCCACCGTCGCATGAATTTGAGCTAAAGTAAAACGTATGTCAAAAAGACGAAAACACCCTTATGGGTTTAGTTGACCATCTCTCTCTCAATTCTTCATTACTACTTTACACTTCTACTGCCATAATTCCCACACTGTGGAATCCGTGTCCATTGCCCGACTTTGAATTTGACGTGAAACCAATATTCATTTAATAGTAGTATTCTCCTTCATCATCTATAACGTTCACATCTTTGCATATTCATTGTTATTCGTATTATTATTATTATTATTATTATTATTATTGCATTTAGTATTAAATAAAAAATCAAATACAGTATTTGATGGTCGTTGAGTGAATTATAAAATAGAGGAGACAGACCTCACCAAAAAAAAAATATATATATAGGGGCGACAGAGTTTGATTTATATAAAAATATATATGTTTTTTTCGTATTGTACATTGCAACATCGGTGTTCGTCGTTCGTGGTATTGATTAAATCGGTGGAATATTTTTGAGTTATTATATATAGAGTAACGTCTCTCGTTGTATTGACTTCGAAAGAATCCAATTTGAATTGTTCACATGTAACACCCTCGAACAAAAAAATATATATTAAAGTGTTCAATGGTAAATATATTTCATTATACGTTTCCAAAATGACCAATCTAATGACGTAGTTATTTCCAAAAAGAAAACAAACAAATCACAGTCGATACGAAATGGTTCGAACTAGGTACGTGTAAAATTAGCTTTAGGTTAGGAATTTCATCCGCTCATTTTAACTAATAATATTATCTGTGATAAAACACATTTTGAAAATATGATTTCACTCTTTTTACGTGTGGAAAAATGATTTATAGTGTATACTATAAGATGTATTTTTTTAAAAATACGTTATAACGTAATGAATCTGCTAAAAACTTGTTAGGTAACGCCTAATGGTTATTATTTTGAAGAAAGGAAAAACTATCAATTCAACTAAAATTAGTTCCAAAAACTCACCACCTTTAATGGGTTAAACTCAATTAATAGGTATTGATAAATCAGTCAAACCTATAAACTTTTATTATGGGAAGTAACAAAAAAGAGAAGGAAACCAAAAAAAAGGGAAGGTAATAATGAAAAGTTGGCGTAATGAAAGAGAGAGACACAACATTACACACAACTCACGAAAGCTAAGCAAAGGCAAAGAAGGAGAAAGAAAGCACCACCACCACCACCACCACCACCACCACCGGTTCGTTCTTGTTTGGTCTTTGTTCTTTACATATTTTTTTTACTTACTTATTTTCTTGATTATTATTTTTAAAATAATTTTTAAAATTGAATATTGTCACAAAGCCCCAACTTCCCCCACTTCTTCCACCACTGTCCCGCTCCATCGCACCCGCTTTGCTTACATTACCAATCCATCATTCATTTTCTTTCTTCTTCTTCCGTTTCTTTTGCCTCTTTCTTTTGTCTTCTTCCTTTGAATTTTCGTTTTTTTTTTTTTTATGTAAACCAAACAAACAAAAAAAAAAAGAAACCAATTTTTTTTTTTTTGTGGCTTTTAATTTATTGGGTCTTGTTCTACTTGTATTAGCCGTTTCATCTCTTCTTCACAAAAGCATCTTCTTTCCTCTGTCAAGATCCTGAATCATCGGTTCGTCTCCTCTCGATTTCTCAACCCTTTTTTTTTTTTTATATAGAAAATAAATTATGGGCTTATATAAAAAGTATCAATCTTTGTTCATGAGGTTCTTTTGTATATTTTTTTCTTATATATGCAGGATCTGAAAGGGAAACTAGAGTTTCTTGAATCTTATTGGAAATCTCTGGCAAAAGGTATAGTTTTTTCATTTTTCCTTCTTCTTCTTGTTCTTCTCATTTTGTTTTGGAAAATTACAATATATTTAGGGTTTCTGTTTCTGGGTTATGATTTATGACTCCTTCTTTCTTTGAACTCTTTTTTTTTGTCATCTTTCCATGTTCCTAGAGATTTACCTATTAGTAAGTTACATATTTTTATGGAACTTTGACTTTTGAATCAATCAATCAATCTCTTTTTGTATCCCCCGGTTCATTAGGCTAATTCATTACAAATCTTATTGCTTAGGTAAAAAAATATATTATAACCCTCCTCCACAAGTCTTTCTTTAGATTTAACATCAAATCTGTTTTATGATCCAGCATTGTCTCCTTCACTTTTCCTCTGTTCTAAAACTCTGTATGGTATTTGGAGTTCAAAAATTTATCTAGACTATGATTTATATCTTTCATTTGAAAGTATTTGTGTTAGATTAGTTGCTTAAGACATGTCAAAATCTTGATTTGTCTCCTCTTCTTTCTTAACTGCAGGTTCTATACTCTTGTCGGTACTCTAATTCAACCGTGAGAATTGAATTCATAATCATCTATACACATTGATAATACTTGTTGAGGAAGATGCTAAGTGGAAACAATGGAAACAATGTACCACCGGTTTTCATGAACGAGAACCAGTTGCAATACCAAACTAACGTACAATCGAATCAGCTTCATTTGCTCAATACCAGTAAGTTTGTGTTTCTCATTCGATCCTAATCTCAAACTTGACATCAATCACTCTTGGAAACTTAGAATTCTGTCTTTTCTTTTCTATTGTGCAGTGGGAGGTGGATGCACTGTTGATCCAGTAAACTATTTTGCTAACGATAATCTCGTTCCAATGATTCGGCAAAACAAAAGAGGAAGAGAAGCCGACAACAACTTTAGTAATATCCAAAGACAGCAGAAGCTTCAGATGTCTTTGAACTATAATCATAACAACAACATTGGTGTTCGAGAAGAAGTCCCTAAGGAGAATCTTGTCTCAACTGGTCTTAGACTATCTTATGATGACGATGAACGCAACTCTTCTGTGACTTCTGCTAGTGGTAACATTGTAGGTGCTTCTCCTATCCTTCAGTCGCTCGATGATAGTCTTAGGACTGACTTCCATAGACAAAAAGATGAGCTTGACCAGTTCATCAAGATCCAGGTACTGATTTTCTCAGCATGTGTTCTGTTTTCTTCGCTTTAAGGTTCTTCTATTTCTAATATTTTTGTTCACTTGTTTGTGGTTCAGGCAGCTCAAATGGCGAAAGGTGTTAGGGATATGAAACAGAGACACATTGCGTCTTTTCTCACCACATTAGAGAAAGGAGTGAGCAAGAAGCTCCAAGAGAAAGATCACGAGATCAATGACATGAACAGGAAGAATAAAGAGCTGGTGGAGCGGATAAAGCAAGTGGCAATGGAAGCTCAGAATTGGCACTACAGAGCAAAGTACAATGAGTCTGTGGTTAATGTCTTAAAGGCAAATCTCCAACAAGCAATGTCACACAACAACAATGTGATCGCTGCTGCAGACCAAGGCAAAGAAGGGTTTGGAGATAGCGAGATAGATGATGCAGCTTCGTCATACATTGATCCAAACAACAACAAGAATAACAACAACATGGGGATGCAGAGGATGAGATGCAAAACGTGCAACGCAAAGGAAGTATCGGTGTTGCTTGTGCCATGTCGGCACTTGAGTTTGTGTACAGAATGTGATGTAATCACTAAGATTTGTCCTGTATGCAAGTCTTTGAAAACTTCTAGCGTTCAAGTCTTCTTTTCTTGAATTTGTGACCAAAATAGAAGAAAAGAAAAGAAGTAAAAAAAAACAAGAGAGAATTATATAAGTATTTCGTACTCTTTTTAAACAAGAATTATCTTCAATTATGTAAAATTATTTGTATCGGTGAGTTATTCTGCATCTGTTATTATGTTTAAGTGTTCAGAGAAAAAGAGGTTTCTGAGTTCTTCAACTAGACCTCAACAGTAGCGGATGATGATGATGAGTCCATCTCAATGCATGTCAAATACCAATCAAGACCTAGAATGTTAAACAAGAAACACAGTCAAACAACAACTAGGGAGGGCTTTTTATAGGGCTGAGTCAAACCGATACGAACCGCATCTGCTTCTTAGTGGGCTCAGAAACTTTTTTTAAAGCCCATATTGTTTGTTTTTTCTTTGATTTCCTTAAGGTGCTTTTTAAAACAACCGGAAGAAGTAAACTGATTGAACCGGAAAACAGCCAAATTAAAACCGAAACTAAAACGTGTTGAATTCATTTTCTCTTGAATGGACAAGGAACCTTCTTCTTAATCTTTGTTAATCATCAAGTTTGACTTTTTGCCATAGAACACACATATTACTCTATAACCTAACCTAGTTCAGAGAGAGGCAGAGCCGAGACTTGGATGAAATTAACCTGGTTTTGGACTTTAGGCTTCTATAGTGTTTATTTACATCAGATTGAGTTGGCCGACGTTTACAAAAAAAACACTCGTTAGCTATGTTGGTAAGAGGTTATAGTACTACATTGTAGACGTATAGGCTTCAAATTTTAACTTTTTTGGGGGAAATTAATTCATGGGACCATTTTTTTTCCCGTCGATCCAACATAAATAATATACATGTGATCATCATTCATCACTGACACTTGTATTTATTTTGACATACCGTAAAATGTATATATGCATGTGCACAAGTATGTATGTATGTATGTATCCACCATCCAAATGTTGAATGGTGACTGGGTGATGGGGGTCGGGTCTAGTGTAATGAGAACAAAAGGGTTCGGACAAGAGAGAGTGGGAAGAGATACAAATTTTGTCTCTATGAATTTATGAGGCAACATATATATAACAGTAAATATTTCGACGTCGGCTCCTTTTTCTTTCTTTTTTTTTGTTTTTGTTTTGCTCCAGTATGTTTTATTTTACAAATCCATGAAACATTAATTTTATGCAGCTTCGTCGTATAAAAATTACACAATCCAGACAGCTCTTTATATTCAGTTTGGTTTTTCTTTCCGCAATAAAACTCAGCTTGTCGCCTTTTGCGGAACAAGAATTAAAAATTAATGGCACAAGATTGACGAATTCTTTGAGCTTGGGTTAAATATACCTTCAATCACCATTTTATACACTTAATCTGCTGATTATCTGAACAACTGTTAGTTCCAAAACCTCTTTTTTTTTTTTTGTGTAGACATGAAAATTAGTCAATCAAAACAAAAACAGTATATAAGAGAGTAATTATAGAAAGATTTAATTAAAACAAAGAAGATTTTAGACAATAGATCATGGACTCATGGAAGGATATTACAGTAAATTGCAACGCCTTCCGTTGCATGGAGTTCACGGGGAGCCAATAAAAGAAAAAATATATATATATATATAACATAACAAGAGTAAAAGGTTCACGAGCGGCTTTACGTTTACGCTTGAAGACGGCATATAGAACTACTCGATCACCTTTAAATTTCGTAAAGCCAAAAGATAAAACAAAAGTTAATCCAAAATCAAAGAAACAATTATAGCCACATAGAGCAAATAGCATGTGAAAGTATATATATTTACTTACGGTTTACAAAGAATATTAAACTATTTTCTTTTGAATATCGTGAGATTGTTAATATAAAATCGTAGTACTGAGTCGTGGATCAAACACTGGATAATTTGGCTAGCTTTCATGCGTCTAATAAGTACAAAATAAACATGATGATGATGATGATGATATTTTTAAAAGAATTTCTTCCCACTTATTAGTGACTACGTGTATCAATTATACCATATTATAATTCGTCAAATGCGCAAAATTTAGTTTTAAAAACGTAGAAGACAGGTAACTAATGATATATAGGTTTTGGCGTATCAGAGAAATGGTACGGTCCACAAAATTCGCTTTAAAAAAACAAAAGAGAGATTGGCACGAGATCATAAAGAGTCGAGCTGTGAAGTCAAAGGGCATATATACATATTTGTTTTGTTATTACTTACATTTCCAATAATTACAAAACTCTCGTGCACCTCACAGATTCGTCCATATTGTTTGTTATCAACTAGTATACATTATTTAGACAAATATAATACCGCATCGATCTTGACTTATTCTCTGTATGAGTTGTTGTATACGTAGAAGTATAATCTAAAACAAGATTTATAACCATGCACGTATATATTTCGTAATTTCTTTATTATCTAGCTATTTAAAGGTCTAATGAGTAAATAATCTAGATTTTTCGATACTCTGCATGATATCGTGGTGGATCATACACTACAAGACTGATAATTCGGTTTAGAGAGCCGTGTTATATGATTACGATTTGCAAATTACGTTAATGAAAGATCAGACAAGAGTAATTAACTTTTACGTACCCCTACACATTTTGGACTAAGTAGTTTGCAAACGACTGATATATATAGTACTGCATGTGTAAGAAGTTTTTACCTTCTTCTTTTTCATTATCTCGTAACCAAAGAGCAGCGCAACAAAGATAGGCAACATGTTAGGTCCACCTACAAGTCTTCGAATTTATAAATGCAACGTTAGCTTTAGGCTTAGTTTTAATAAATGTTTTGTCTGACACATCTCTTGATCCTTCAGGATTCTTTCCTTATAACCAAAAAGAAAAAGTTTTGAAATAAATAAGTCTTATTTTGTACTTATTTGTCTCGTGCAACAATGAAAACAGTGGTATTATCGATAATCTTGATGGAAGCAGAGGGTCATATAGAGGCATCTATTGATTTGGACCTATATATTTGTATATATTTGCTGCTGCGTATGTAAAACTGAAACTACCTGTAATCTCAGTAAAGAAGCCAACATGTCTCTGGTCTCTGACTATATCTTCACATATTTAATCAAACTTAACGAAAGTGATTTTAACTTGCATGGGGTTCTTCGTGTACCGTGACAGTATAAAATAACATTGCTGTGACTAGTATTATTGGCATTGTTGGTAATGTATATAAAATTAGAAATCATGTGATGCACCCAAGATGATCGACCGTATTTGATCTAAAGTAACTTTTTATAAACCATAACAAAAAAATATTTAGGTAGTATCGATATAATTAATAGCCAACACCTTCTAATTCACGTTTGTAGAAAACAATTCATTTTGAAATTTATTTGTTTGTAGTTAACTACCAATTGATCAACGTTTCATGTGATGATATTCTTGTGATCACAATACCTATATATATTTTTTAAATCTTTTGAAATGAAGAATCAGAAATATTCATACATAACACAGCCAACAGCTTTTTGGCTGTCAAGAAGGGGAACTCTGTCGAATCACATATATGTTTTTGTTCATCACATGATACTTTACTATTGCAGAACAGTAAATCCATAATTAATAACTTATCATTTATAATTATATATAATTCTAAAAATTCCTGAATGGAAATTAAAGAATACAGTTCTTTTTATTCATTTTTTTTCTTCTCTATTAGGACAAACAAGTACTTGCTCATATTTTTTCCTTACAACAGTTGGAGTTAGCACTCTTCTGTATTTATTCCTTAATTAAAGTTTTATTTGACAGAGAAATGGTGTGAAACTATGAGCGCACAAAGCTTTTCCTGAATCCCAAAGATGGTTTATGCTTATGATCCGTACATGCTTGATAACTGCAAATTTCTGTATCAACAAGTGTCATAATATTTCCTTAATTTTTTAAAAAATGCATTGTGAATCATGAATAATTTAATAAGTACGGATAAACGTAACACAAAACTCCACTAGAGTGTATCATTATAATTATAACTAGTTTTTTAGAAGTGAAGTTAAGATTGTCTAATTATTTCGTTTGAAAAAAAAAAAAACAAATATTGAAGCCGTAAAATATGGCCTAGTTGAAACTTGCATTGTTCATAAAGAAAACTCAGTCCCAAATAATCTAATCAGAAGATTAGCAACATGTACTATAAAACTATTTTCGTATTCAAACATTAAAAAAAAATTGTAAGAGATGTACGATTTATATATAGTAAGTTTTCGTTATGAACTTATAACCTTTTTAATTATGGTAATTATTTGTAATTTTTCAAAGCTAAGGTTCATATATGAAAGTTATTTCTAATTTTATAACATTGTTGTGTTTTTTTTTACTGATATTAATCTTAATCATCAAATCCATTTAATATATTCCACTGATTCCAAAAAACATATATATTTTTTACGATTACCATATCTAGCACAATATTGCCGATCGAAGTCTTTAGCTATTTCTATTTGATACACAAAGAGAAGAAACAAAATTATTCACAAACAATGACGACAGCTCGTGAAGAAAGAAAAGAAAAAACAATGCCGACAGCATTTTTTTGTTTCAAAGTTTTCATTATAGTTAATGTGTAATATATATACAAATATAATATGAGAAAAACAATAATGTAAAATTAAAAGAAAAAATATGAGGACCTAAAAGAAACAAGCTTCGGTTACTTTCTGTTTTCTGTTTCTGCTCTTTCTTTTAATAGCAGTCTTTTTTTCTCTCTTGAATAATAAATGAAATTTTAATCTATAATGGATTCGACAATAAATTAGTAAGAAAAAACGAGAGAAATAAACAAAAAAGATATACAAATAGGAGGAGTTTTGTGAATAGAAAAAGCAATGCCCGTGAAGGAGTGCATGTGAGTAGTAAAAGAGATGTTATAATCAGTGCCCCATTGACAACATATAGACCCACTCACGAGTCTCTTTCGTTTTTTTTTTTATACTCTTATTTATAATTATTATAAAATATGTTTTTAATATATTAATTTCTTTTTAAAAGATATAATGAGATAGAATGTTTGAAGAATTTTTATTTATTAATTATATCCATTTTATCTTCAAATCTAGTTTTGCGATTTCGATTATCCCACTTATTATCTAGTCTTGAGATTTTGATTATCCACTTGGGATTCCTAATAGCTTAGCTAATATGTGATGTCGCCACCAGATGCATACAGACTACACATGATATGAATAATGTGAAAATCTAATACTAATTTGATTAATTATTGTGTTTTAATTTTGTTTATTTCTCTCTAGTTTATTTCATTTTATTTTTCGATAAAAGATTGCCATCTCTTCATTAATTAAGCAAGTTAATAATGATTGCAATATTTAGAAAATGACGAATTGTTTTAGTTCTACATGGCATCTTGAATTTCTACACCAGCACACTGTCACAGTAAATATGAAAATCATAGGACACTCTTAATCATGATAATACGACAGATCCAACACATGCATATGTATTAGATACACACGTACACATGCATGCTTGTATCCATCTATACGTACATTACATATATCCCAAATTAAAATAAAAAAAGCAACAAATAAAATTGAATATACACCTCATTTTTAAGAATCCCCACATCATATACAACAACATACAGTCATGCACATACATGTGTTTAGATATACATATGTAATTATTTGAAGTCTTTTAGCAACCAAATTAGATGAGCTTTTAACCACCCATTTATCTCCACGTGTCATACATATCGGTATATCATCCCTGACTGATACACTTCACTCCACAATTCAGGTTTTGGCAGATTGGGGTAACGACTCGAACTTTTTTACCCACGGTGAAGAAAATAAATTCTTGTTTGGTTTCACATTTCGCATATTATTAATTTCTACCCTTAAACTAAGCTCCAAATACTAATTCACGAGTAATCACTTTATATCACTGTCAATATCAAACATTATTTCACAAATATCCAACTTATATCAAACTTTATGTTCTTATTATCATCTATGGATAACTTGTACACAGCTTAGTTTTATTCGTTTGTTTAGTAAACCTTTTTTTTAATGATAACTTACTTAATAATCAACGATATGGAAAATAAAGGACATTATTGATACAATATCGTTTTAGATTTTAAAAATAAAATTCCATATTGAAAACCCGTGAGCCTCTCTACATTCTTGGACTGCTTCCTTATATAAATCTCACCAAGAACCTTCTCTTTCTTCAACCAAACCAAAGTCTCTTCAACCACCACAAACACAACACTCTTCGTTTAGACAACCAAAAGAAAAGGAAAAAATGATAATGAGAAGAAGTCTAAGTCTGAAAAGCATCACTATGATGATACTAATGGCGGTTTTGGTCTGGTCTGTAACTCTAGAGACCTGCATTGCTAGAAGAGGAAGGCATTGGAGGCATAACCACAGAAGCTCTTCTGACTTATCTGATTCCTTGTCAACGAAGAAACCGAAGAGCCATAGCCACAGTCACCACAGTTCTCACAACAACAACCATCACCACAAGTCTAAACCTAAACCGAAACCAAAGCAGAAAACGCCGCCAAAAGCTAACTCTCCAGTGGTTTCACGGCCACCTAAAGTCCAACCACCACCAAAATCTAACGACGATAACTCTCCGGTGGTTTCACGTCCGCCTAAAGTCCAATCACCACCTCTTCCGCCGCTAAAGGGATCTCAAGTTTTCAATGTGATGGATTTTGGTGCAAAGGGTGATGGCAAATGTGATGACACTAAGGTACAATTAAAAAAAGCTCATTTATCCGTACATTTTTCAATCCTAGTGGTTCTATATATTTGATTAATTAGAGCATTTTCTATTTCGTTTTCATGAATGACAATTACAGTTGAGAGATCATTGAGACAACACGAGACAGAACAATAAGAAAAAAAAAACAGAGCTCAGAAAAAGCTTACTCTACCAGTCACTTAATTTTTTATTTATTTATTTTATCCTCTCTAAAATATTGGATTGCGCCAAAAATAAAAAGACAAACGAAGAATATAAAGTTAGTGACAACAGAAATAACAGATTACAAATGGGACCATAAGTCACAAGCCTCGGTAACCATACATAGTAGCTCTGTAGAACAAATATGGTGATTAGGCGTTTTTTAGTTTAAGTTAATGAAATACTTAAACAGGGTTTCATAATGTTTGCAGGCGTTTGAAGCGGCTTGGGCAGGGGCTTGCAAAATCGAGGCATCCACGATGATCGTACCGTCTGAATACACTTTCCTCGTCGGTCCGATCTCATTCTCTGGTCCTTATTGTCAAGCTAACATTGTGTTTCAGGTGAGAATTGATCTTTCAAATAGAAAAATTGTATCGTCTTTTAAGTGTCACACAAAACCTAAACTTGACTGTGAATTTTGCAGCTTGATGGTACGATCATAGCTCCGACGGACGCAAAGACATGGGGAAAAGGGTTAATGTGGTGGATTGATTTCACAAAGCTTAAAGGAATTAAAGTACAAGGGAAAGGTGTCATTGATGGAAGAGGCTCTGGTTGGTGGCAACAAGACTACCCTTTCATTGATGGTGAAACCAAACTCATCGTCCCTTTGTACAATTCTACTCACCAACACCCTCCAATGCCTGTAAAATTCATCATCTTCTTCTTCTTGATTGTCTCATTCACACAATCTTCATCTAAGACCAAACTCTGTTTTGTTTCACATTTGACAGATAAGAAGTGAGCTTGATGGGAGAATGCCAAGCATCAAACCAACGGTGAGAAATGAAAAAAGCAAAACAGAGTTTAACTGTATTGTGAGATTGTGTGCATTGGTTTGGTTACTGATTTGTGTTTATGGTTTCATTTAGGCACTGAGATTCTACGGGAGTTTTGGCGTGGAAGTGAGTGGTATAACGATCCAAAACAGTCCTCAGTGTCATCTCAAATTCGATAACTGCGTAGGGGTCTCGGTGCATGACATGGTTGTTTCTTCACCTGGTGACAGTCCAAACACTGATGGAATTCACCTCCAGAACACCAAAGATGTCCTCATTCACAGTGCTACACTCGCTTGCGGTATGTACTTTCAATTTATTGAATCCCTAAAATCCTAAATCTTGATTCTTGATTCTTGAATTCTTGAATTTTCAACTAATAGTGTCTCCTCACTTTGAATGTGTGCAGGAGATGATTGTATCTCGATCCAAACGGGTTGCTCGAATGTGTATGTACACAATGTGAACTGTGGACCGGGTCACGGGATCAGCATTGGCAGTCTCGGTAAAGAAGGCACAAAAGCCTGCGTCTCGAACATAACAGTACGAGATGTAGCGATGCACAACACGATGACTGGTGTCCGGATCAAGACGTGGCAAGGAGGAGTAGGATCCGTGAAAGGGATACTCTTCTCAAACATTCAACTCAATGAAGTCCAGCTTCCAATAGTAATAGACCAATTCTACTGTGACCATAGCAAATGCAAGAACCAGACATCTGCAGTTGCAGTGGAAGGAGTGACCTACGAAAGGATAAAAGGAACTTACACCGTGAAACCGGTGCACTTCGCTTGCAGCGATAACTCCCCGTGTGTAGATGTGCAGTTATCTTCAATTGAGCTTAAACCGGTTCAAGAACGGTACCATATGTATGATCCTTTCTGCTGGCAGACATTTGGTGAGCTCAACACTCCTACTCTTCCTCCTATTGATTGTTTACAGATTGGGAAGCCTCCGAGAAACAAAGTCCATGAATCCGATCACGATGTGTGTTGACGGATGCTGCAAGTAAAAAAATGTAGATTAATGTATATCTTTCTTTAGCCTATAAACCTACTACTATATATGACTACTTCATACGAATTTAATGTCTAGTTTCTATATGATGTCTCTTCTTTCTATACCCTCTCTTGCTACTTGAATTAAAGCCTCACCTTATTAACCAATACCAAGTGATGATCATCTTTATTATTACCGAGCTGCAAAACTGATCTGAAATGGGCTAAAAGGTAACAAAATAGAATTTTATGGAATTGAATTAAAGATTTTATGGAAGGACATGTGTGAAGATTACAAATATGAGGGGCTATTTAAGTGAAAAGGTTAAAACTTTGGGGTAATTTGTTATACTATACAAATAATAGGAGGGGCGCTAGTGAAAAATTCACAATTCACAAATCACAAATCACAGAAAGTACTAATCTTGCAATCACAAATCACGTCTTGTGCTGATTTTGAAAGCTTGTCGCTCGCTTCAGATCCCTTCAATTCTCGAAAGGTAAGCTCCAAAAAGCTTTCAGATTCGTCTTGCTTCTTTAGGGTATTCTGGATCTGCATTCTGATTTCCTAGATGAGCTGATCCCAAGTACCTGAGTTCTTTTTGTTTCGGAGAAATCAAATCTCGTATCGTCTTTTTCGTTAGATTGTACGCCATTGTTGTTTTAAAGATCGTGTATCTTGGGATACAGATTTTAACAATTCATCATGAAATCGTGATCGTCTCGATCTCTCTGTTTTGATTAATGATAGTTATTCATACAACAGCTGAGTAATTTTTGATCTGTGAATTGAATGCTTGTCTAGTTACGATGATTGGGTTAGGTGCATTCGATCTAATTTGGTGTAAAAGGATCAATTTTTAGGAATAGAGAAACAATTGTATATGGCTGTGTGATGTGTGATCTGTTATGGTTGGACATTTCAGGATCAACAGTTCAAAAGGAAAATGGGGCTTTCATTCGCGAAGCTTTTCAGCCGGCTTTTTGCCAAGAAGGAGATGCGAATCCTTATGGTGGGTCTCGATGCTGCTGGTAAGACAACCATTCTGTACAAGCTCAAGCTTGGTGAGATTGTAACCACCATTCCCACCATTGGTAAGTCTCCTTTTGACTTCTGTAAGATCTTCTGAATTGCTTAGGCTGTTGGAAATTTACATCTCTAGTTTAGATACCTGTTTCAGTTTGGCTTCTTTGACTTAAAAATGAATCTTTTTGAAACAATGTCAACTGGTAGATTACAAACACTACTTGAACGAGTGATTGGAGTTTAACTTAGTTAGACAATGAGACTTAATAATTTTTTTTTTTACAGGGTTCAATGTGGAGACGGTTGAGTACAAGAACATCAGCTTCACGGTCTGGGATGTCGGGGGTCAGGACAAGGTTTGTACTATATCATGATTTCCGCAAAATCGCTTTGAAAGAGGAAACATATATCCACTTATTCTTTCTTACAGATCCGTCCCTTGTGGAGACACTACTTCCAAAACACTCAAGGTCTGATATTCGTGGTTGACAGCAATGACAGAGACCGTGCTGTTGAAGCGAGAGATGAACTCCACAGGATGTTGAATGAAGTATGTTTTTTTAATGCTACACAGTTATGTCAATTTTTTCACTTGTTAGTCCCTAAGAAGTATGTCCCTCTGGTGCTTCGAACCTGCAGGATGAGCTGCGTGATGCAGTGCTGCTTGTGTTTGCCAACAAACAAGATCTTCCAAATGCAATGAATGCTGCTGAGATAACTGATAAGCTTGGCCTTCACTCTCTCCGACAACGCCACTGGTAATTTATAGTTTTATCCCGGCCAGGAAGGTTTGTTATTTACTATTGCATACATGTATTCTTGAAAACACTTTGCTTGCTCTCTCTCTCTTTCCAGGTACATCCAGAGCACATGCGCAACCAGCGGTGAAGGGCTCTATGAAGGTCTGGATTGGCTTTCCAACAACATTGCTAACAAAGTAAGACTTGTAAATTCTGATACGATAGGCTTATTTGGTTCAGGTGACTGAGTATGGGTTTTGGTTCTTTTCTTTTACTCGAATCGCAGGCATGAGGTTATCTCGACCAGATATTTTGGTGAGGGGGAAGGAAAGCTTCTTCTCCGGAGTCAGCTTTATTTTTTGTGTGTTAAAGACCTGATTGTTTTTGTGTGTGTTAAAGACCTGATTGTTCAACATTCACCTTGTTTCCTTTTCGCTTGCGCTTCTTGAAATATCTGAATACTTCTAGATTTGAACTTCATATCATTTATTTTCTTAAGATAAATTGGTTTATTTGATTATTTTTTATTTTTTTAAAAATTTTCATAACATTTAAGCTTGCAATAATAATGGAGAGTAACTATCGATCACTCTCTGAAGATTCTATTACCCAAAACCATCGCGTCGCAGTAGCTTTATGCGAGACGATCCTTGTTTGCATGGAAAAGAAAAGTCTATTCATTTACAGTATATATATTTCTGACCAACTTGTATAATTTGAAGTTCAAATCTAACAGTCAATTTATAACTGTGACCAATGGGACAGAGTAATAATCATACTCCGTATTTTAGAAAGAATAACGTACGCGGCATTCCCGACAATGAAGGTGAATGGTGAATCTTCTAGATAGTAGATATTGGTACTCTTCTTTCCTACAATTTTATTTACTGTAAAATAAAATAAAAACAATCAAGTGATTTTTAGCTTATTTTCTTATTAATTTTTAGAATTTAATTGTTGAGATATGGGAGACTTTCTATTTTTACACCCAACAAAAAAAAAACACACGAATTGAGAAAAAAAAATCCAAGTAAAACAAATTCTCTCATCTTCCTATCTTCCTTTAGTTGCAAGAAACCCTATTGGCTTGGATTTTGATTTTCTTTTGTTTTGTTAATTCCCACAGATCTTGGTAATCCCAAAAACACATAATCTAGAGAAACCTATACATTGTCTACAATTTAATTTCTTGTATCTCTGTCGAATTAAAACTCGTTTTGGTTGGATCCCAAAAGAAATCTTGTCTCACAAGGAACCTCTTTATGAGCAGATTGATCAAAAACATGTAAAGAGAGAGAGAAAAAAGGTTGAATAGAAATGGAAAAAGTCCAGGAACAAGCAGATTTGATCGGAAAGAGGTTTTCTCCGTTTGCAGCTTCACAGCCAACAAATGTCATCGGAGGATTAACTGATCAGAAAACCACCGGCGATCCCCAGACGACACAGCCTCCAGCTCCTTCTCCTCCATCCCCACAGGGTGCCGGTGACGGCTCACAATCATCTCCGCCTCCGATAACTGCTGCTCCACCACCGCCTAATACAACTCCACCTCCCTCTTCCCCTCCTCCTTCTGTAACTCCACCTCCTTCACCTCCTCCGCCTCAACCCACCCAAACAGGAGATTCTCCGGTGGCTGTTCCTTTGCCAAAGCCTCAATCTCCTCCTCCCACCTTAGTTGCTCAGCAACCGGAGACAAGACCTAATGATGGTGGACAACAGCAACCCATCCCTATTTCTCCTCCGTCTCTCCTTTTTACTCCCTTTACGCCGCCGTCTGTCGAAGATTTTGGTAGCCAAGGGTCTCCTCCATTGTCATCACTATTGCCTCCGGTGATACCCCTAAACCCTTTACAGCCGTTGGATTCACCTTTGGCAGGAGGATCGAATAGTGTACCCTCGTCGTCTTCTTCCCCGTCCCCTCCTTCCCTCTCCGGCTCTAATAGCGATAATGCTAATAGTAACGGAAATGGTGGTAATGAATCTAACTACACCGAGAAGACGATGGTCGGTATTGGGATTACAGGTGTGTTGGTCATTGTATTCGTTGCTGCCATTTTCTTCATTAGGAGGAAACAAAGGAAAGGTTCTTCTTCGCCACGCTCTAACCAGTATTTGCCACCGGCTAATGTCTCTGTAAATACAGGTAAGATAATCTTTACTTTTCGTGCATGTGGTTGTATAAATTGGTTTTGTAATCATGTCTTGTTATTGATTCTTGCTCTTCTTTTTATGTTCTCGAGTTCTTTATTTCCATTCTTTGTCACGGTCTAACTCTTGTTCTTGATTCTTGATCTTGATTCTTGATCGATTCCTGCTTCTCTTCGATGGAAGTTTTATTTTCTTGTTGTTTCTTGACATTTTGTTTTGATTCTTGTCTTAACCTTCTTGAGTCTTCATTCTAGCTCGTGTTATTGACTATTTCTTGACTATGAAGTTTTTTTTTTTTTTTTCTGGTTCTTGTTTTTTATTCTGGCCTTATTCTTGCCACAGAGGGATTCATTCAGTACGGGCATAAACCCGGAAATGGGAATAGCTCGGCGCAAAACTCATCACCAGATACTAACAGTCTCGGGAACCCAAAACCCGGTAAAGCAACTCCTGACTCGACAGTATTAGGGACTTCAAAAATCCTTTTCACCTTTGAAGAGCTAAGCCAGATAACGGAAGGATTTTGCAAGAGATTTGTGGTAGGAGAAGGCGGGTTCGGGTGCGTCTACAAGGGCATCCTTTTTGAGGGAAAGCCAGTGGCGATCAAACAGCTAAAGTCGGTAAGCCCAGAAGGATATAGGGAGTTCAAAGCAGAAGTAGAGATCATAAGCAGGGTGCATCATAGGCATTTGGTGTCTCTTGTTGGTTATTGCATCTCTGAACAACATAGATTCCTCATCTATGAGTTTGTCCCCAACAATACTTTGGATTACCATTTACATTGTACGTTTTTTTCTCTACAAATTTTTGTTTTTTATCAAAACCGGTCGCGTGGGAGTTATTTTGTGACTACATATTAACGTTGAATCATAATATGATAAGCATACCATTTATATTGTCTTATGTTGTTGTTGTTGTCAGGCAAAGATTTGCCGGTTCTGGAATGGAGTAGAAGAGTCAGGATTGCAATAGGTGCAGCCAAAGGACTTGCTTATCTACATGAAGATTGTGAGTATACTCTTCCGATCCATTACGTTTTTAAAAAGTTTACGTTAATGAAATGTGAATATAATTTCCTAGGTTAACGTTGAATGGGCTTATATGAATTTGATAGGTCACCCGAAGATAATCCATAGGGACATCAAATCGTCAAACATTCTGTTGGATGATGAATTCGAAGCTCAGGCAAAGTCAATATTTTTTTATTTATTTTTTGTTTTTTCTTTCTCTGTTATGCTGATTTTCAAATTAATTAGTATGCTAATCATATTATGATTTTCATCACGGAGGATATTGATAAATTTGCTCCATAAGTTCGTTACACAGGTTGCCGATTTCGGACTGGCCAGACTGAACGATACTGCACAGTCCCACATATCAACGCGTGTCATGGGCACATTTGGGTACTTTTTTTACATATAACACTCTCCATTCTTTAAATTATAACAATTCCATACTGAAAACATTGTAGTTTAGTCGCTTTCGTCTAAACAAGTACTTTCCCTTACATATGAGCTTTTGATCCTTATTTCCCTTTTGGTGCAATAAAAATATACATATGTAATTCTGAGTTACACAACGTTCGTTTTTATCAATTTTTTTTTATAAAATAGAAATTTCACGTTGTGTGCATCACTAAAACATTTAGATGAGATCATTTTCTATGTATGAAGTAAAAGTTGTATATAGTGTTTCACAAGTATCTTTTAAACCGATTCAAAAATAGTTATAATAAAATGTTAGGATAATCGTATATATATTTACATATGAACAAATGCAGGTATTTAGCTCCAGAATATGCTTCAAGTGGAAAGCTAACTGATCGATCAGATGTGTTTTCATTTGGAGTTGTGCTGCTCGAACTCATAACTGGTCGCAAGCCTGTTGATACCTCTCAACCTTTGGGTGAAGAGAGTCTCGTTGAATGGGTATTTTTCTTTTTTTTTTTATAAAAAAAATATATATTTCAAGTTACCATTCAAAATGAAAATATATATATATATATAAATTTTGTTTTATTGTTCATGAAGGCACGTCCAAGATTAATCGAGGCCATTGAAAAAGGTGACATCAGCGAAGTAGTGGATCCACGGCTGGAGATGCAATATTTTGAAGGTGAAGTCTATAGAATGATCGAAACGGCAGCATCTTGCGTTAGGCATTCTGCTCTAAAACGACCTCGTATGGTTCAGGTCAGATATAGAAACACCTAATCAATAGAAGATACAGCTGGGGAGAGAGAAACAAACTCTCTGACTGATACGGAGTGTATCCTTTTTTTAACCTTGCAGGTTGTAAGAGCTCTGGACACGAGAGAAGACCTGTCGGATCTGACAAACGGGGTTAAAGTCGGTCAAAGTACGGTCTACAACTCGGGTCAATACAGCAATGAGATTCGAATTTTCAGACGAGCCTCTGAAGACTCCTCGGATCTTGGTAATACTAACTCTGGCTACTACCCAAGCCAAGACTATGCCACTAGCCATGAATCTGAGAGCCGAGCCATCAACACAACTCACCGGAACCGTTGAATCACGGAAGTTGTTGTGTTTTGTTTTCTGGGTTCTTTGAGACCCTTTAGAACTATTGAAAAGACCTTAAACGAACTCAAATTCCAATACCCAGAAGAACTTATAGTTTCAACATGTAAATTCGTCACCAAAAAAGCTTGTGAGAATCAAATCACAGTAGTAACTTGCGGCTGACGCAAACAAAACATTTGACATTTTTCTGTTTTTTTTTTTTTGGGTTATGTACGACTAAGTTTTATGGACTTTTCATATCGATTGTCTGATTTATCATTATCTTGAGCAGCGAATCTCTCAGATCTCCAGATGCAATCCCATCTTTGTCCGCCTGACAAAATCCAAACTTTTATCAGATTTTAAGTTTCTGTGACTCAGAGTAGAGGCAATGAGATGTGTTAATAGTTATTACCTTGACATTGAGAACTGTCTTGACTGTGAGATCAAGTCTGGTGAAGTTGACGTCGATGATCTCAAGTCCACATGAGTCCACAGCTTCTATTAATCTCTTAAATCCATCTCGTTTATGCTCCTGCACTACCCGAATCAAGAAATCTCGCTCACCAATCTCATGAACTTCAAGATTCACCTGAACGAAACCAGAAACAGAGGAGTTTGTAGGATATTACTGGTTAGATATGGTGGATCTTAAAGCTCTATTTATTTCAATAATACCTCGTTTTTCTTCATTTTTTTGTTGAGTTTAGAGGCACGTTTCTCAGCTTCTGGATCAGCTATTGCAGATTCTTCCTCTGCAGCGATTTCTTTGCATTCCTTCTCGTTGATTCCTTTAAGCTCATCTTCAAGCTTCTTCTTCTCCACTAGCAGTTCATTGATGTAATCAACCGCATCAGTGAAAATTCCAATTTTGTTCATCTGCAAGAAATGGATAAATATAATCCTATCAAACAGTGCTATTGATCACAAGAAGAGTGATCCAGAAACTATATTGAGTTTCAGAAGAAACCTTTGTGATTTTAGGGACAACGGCTCTTAGAGCATACATGGCCTGATTAATTCTATCTCTTCTTTTTCTCTCTGAAAGAAGATTCTTTGATTTGAAGTTTTCCTTAGGAAGCCTCTTATTAGCTTTGAAATCGACGGCCTTTTGCACCACGGGATCCTCCTTGTTCATTACCAAACATGGCGCTTGTTCTTCCCTGAAAATTTCCACACAACGAGCATTCGGCTGATTTCCAAAAAGATTCTGAGTTTCGCTGGAGTGATTGGAAACACTAGATGAGCCGCCACCTTCAAAGCTGAGATTCACACCGCTACTGATAGATTCCTCTGCTCTAGGAATGATCCTGATTTGCAGCTTTTCTTCAGGGAATGGTTCAAAGAAGGCGTTACAACGCGATATGATCATATCAACCATGGGTCCATCAAATGGTTTCTGAAAAAACAAAAAAAGAGAGGACAAACTTGTTATGAAGGTACTACCAAACCAATAGAGTGATTTTTTTAATAGAAGTGCATGCTAACATGTTTTTACCATTTTGAAGGAGAACAGCTCAATAAGACCATCACTCACAGGAACAAGAACCCGTGTGTTGAACATGTCCTGCCAAGAAAATCCGTGTCAGATTGTTCTTATGATCAAACAAGTAAACAAGGCTGAAGAAAAGAGCCTTTCTACCTTTTTAAGTCCAGGACCTGAATTAACCAACCATTTGGGAGATTTTGACATCACTACTTCTCCATGAATCCTGAAGTTGAGAAGAAAGCTTTAGATCTTGTTTGAAAAAAAAAAATAACTCAAAAGGGGGTTTTAGATGATTAGACATACCCAGGATAGAGAGGCATGAAGAGTGGAAAATGAGAAAGAGCTTCACAAGCTAGGGTTCTCATATGATGCTTGTTGTGTTCATCTCTACAGAAAGAACCTTTCTTTTCTCTAGCAGTTCCTTCTGAGTTTTCAAGCTTAATGTTCTTATCAACATAACTACCACTGCAGCAGCATCCCACCCATTCGATAAACCTGCAGATTATATGGAAATAAACACAATTACCGGCTGATTTAAGAAACTAGGTGTAACTATGAAGATCACAAAACCCAGAGATCAAACAAGTTTTCATCAATACAAACTTAATAAAACCAGAGAAAAGACAAAACCGAGACCAGACAAAGAAGAATAAAATATTCAAACTCCAAAAAACTGGTAATCCAGAGGTAGAGATGGGAAGGACAAAAACACGCAGACACCAAGAAAATTTAATAGTATGTCAAACCTGTGTTGCTGAAAACACAAATCACCATGATATCTCAAAAACTAGATGAACCAACAGAATCAGAAACCAGAGAAATTTGATAGAACAGAGGCAGAAAGTGTTAGGAACCAATTTAAAAATGGAAACTTTGAGACTAAACGATTCAGGAAAGCAATAACAGAGCCATAAAAAAACAAAATGTCCCAATCCAGAAAGCAAAGGTTGTTTACAAACACGAAAACCCAACAGTTTACATAAAAATGGAAGCTTTTTACTGAAAGAAACAATACACAGCTGCATGATTCTCATGAACGACGAACAAAGAAACCCAGAAAGGAGAGTGTGTACCTGGAAGGATCATCACCGAGCTTCCAGATAACACACAAGTCCCAAGTTTTGGAATCGACGAAGGGTCGAAGAAACTCCTTCACTCTCTCACCAGCTCTCATCATCATATCTTCCTCTCACTCACTCTTCTTCTGCAACAAGAAGGAGAGCCAAACAAAAAGCCTGGATTTTTATGATCTCTTTTGGTCTTACTTATAAATTGATGTAAGGAGAGAGAGATGGAGATATGTTTGGCATATATACACAGCAGTTGCTCTGTCAAAACAAATCATATCGGGAATATACGAACGTACAAGACAATGGTAACCAACTTCGCTTTTTGAATTAAAACCCAGAGAGAGAGAGAGAGAGAGAGAGAGAGAGAGAGAGAAATTGAGTGAATCGTCTGCGAGTCTGTACCCAAATCCGTGACAGAGGTGACTGTGACATCTGTAGAGAGAGGGAGACTCAGAAAAAGATGGTTTTTTACTCTGACTGTACGAACAAAGTTATCATGTGCTTGTAAACGGCCATAAAGGGCTTTGAAGCAAACAAAAGAAAAGAAAGGACTGTATGGGATATGATAGCAACACTTAACAATACGAAATGAGCAAGCTTTTTTGTTGCTCACTTGACAAAACCATAATCTTTGTACTCTTTGCTTTAAGAAGGAACGAGCTTTGAGAGCTTTCTTGTTTTCAAAAGAAAAGTTTGGACCTTTGATTCTGTTTTTGGTTTTGTACTCTTGTTTCATGTGAACAAAGGTATTTGGAAAATGTCTATATACAAAAAAAAAAAAAAGAACAAACAGATATTTATATGATTAGGCTACTTTATGGCTGTTTTGTACCTAATGATTCAATCAAAAAAAAAAAACAAAAACGAAGAATGAAACTGAAATCAGAAAGAAATTGTGAAAATGAATCATTTTTGAAACAGTTAAAGTCGAAGTTTTCTATTTTCCCTGTCTTTTCATAAGCTTAACTTTGTTCATCAGTTATCACTGCTTACTGGCAAGGATAATAGCAGAATAGAATGGCAAAATATGATAATAATATTATGATACTTGTATGGACAAAATAGAAGCCAGGTTATGCATTATACAGATGTCAACTGTCATTGTTTAAGTGTTCTTCCATAATGGATTCAAATGATACAAATATTAGGACATTTCAATTTACGATTCAGTTACTTACCTTAGTTTATTAACATTGTGTGTTCAGAACCTCAATGTGACAGTCTCCTCAGACTAAGTATACAGTTCCGATTATTATCAACATCCTTTGCCCAGAGTGGCTTAAGCTTGAACCTTTACTGATAACTGATAAGGCCATGGAAGGATTGTTACCTTAACGCAGATCAAATATCTCAAACCGAAGGTTAGAGTTCTTGTAGACGTTAGAGCAATGCTCATAAACTGGGTTCCCATCTTCTGGTTCTTTGTGCGGGTGGAATCCAGTCTCGGAGCAGCTTCTCAGTACCTCCATTCCTCCCGGGTTCGTTAGCTTAAATATTCCGTAACTCCTGAAAAATCAGTTTGAAAGTTCATCAAGAAAATAGGTTGACTGTATAATTGACTCCATAGTAACGGGTTAAGATAGCTTTTGAAGCACATACTTAGAGCTATCGGTTGGAGCCACAACGATTGCAAAAGCCTCGGGCACCATTACCTGAAAGGTACATGATAGGAAAAATGAGAACTGAATCGTCTCAAACAGAGGAGACATAAATCCTAGTCAGAGCTAATTGCTTTTGTCTGTCATATGGTAAATCTGGATAGAGTACCTGATATGAGTAATGTGTATGCAGATCTACTGATGACATGAAACACCCCTGAGAAGGATGAGTCTGTAATAGACTCATAACTCATTAAAGTAAGTCAAGACAAAGCAGTTAAACATATCACTAAATATCTCAATATATGGAGGGAGAAGAGAGATATATACATGAATCCATCCTACGGGATAAAGTTCTCTTTCGTTCTGTATGGAAAACACTTCCACTTCATTCATAGCTTGACACTGCCAATTTTTAGTACCAAGTTAGCAACCATTCTTACATTGAACACCAAGTAAATGACCAAAGATATAGTCTTTCGAATATACTCACAGAATTAGAAGTTGATTCTTGCTTAGGTATTATCAGAGTTGTTACGTAAAAAATCCCTCTTTCCTGCAGCATAATCAAATATAGTGAAGTGATTAGCATATCAGGTCCATGAAAGTCGAAAAAAGGAAGAATACTGAAACAGAGAAGCAAGGCAACCCTGAGTCATGACCAAAGCATATTCTCCAAGTAATTTCAAAACTCATGAATAACTTGGGAGTAACTGATAATAGGAGTAAGCTCCAAAAATTAAATTTTCTCAATACCCATTAGCAGAACAAATAAAGTCAGCGACTTGCTGAGAATTTCATTCACTTTCTCATCAAAGTAATCAACTTGATAATGAAGAAAGCAAAAAAAAATCTTACAAGAAAGGCAGCAAGAGTCCCACAAGTCTCGAGGTCCTTCTCAGTGTTCTCTCTCGCGAGCTCGGTGAAATCTTCCAACAATCTTTCTGACTAATAAGAATAAACACAACAACTGTTTGCTCAATAATTTAATCCGAACAAATCACGGAGAACTGAATTTTTGTAAAGAATCTTACGATATGAACATCTCTGAGTATATTGGTTTCCGAGGATTCGCCGTGATTCGTATCGGGACCGGAGAATAGGACCCGAGACACGTGAGACGCTTTACATGTTCCGCCCTCAACAAAAGAGAGCGAGGGAGATGGAGACGAGAGGGTTACCATGGAAGCAAAAGCATCGGCTCCTCTAGGCTAGTGGATGAGCTCAAAGAGTGGAAAGACAAAACAGAAAAGCTCACCGACCTCACTGAACAGGTTCTTGATAGACCGACCGGTCTAGTAAAATCGGTTTAGAGAACATTCAAGGGTATAATTTCAATTTTCAGAAGTTCTAAGGGCGATTTCGAATATGTACAAAAGCACAAGGGTAGTTTTAATGAAGATGTTTCAGAAACGTGACACGTGTCCAGGTTATGGATCAACGGTGAGTATGAATGTCTGAGTTTAGACAATAAAGACCGCCGCGTCGTCGTCTTTGTGTTTATCGCCTCAACTCAAAACAGATCTAATCGCTCAAAGTCGTCTCTCTTCTCCCAAAATCAAAACGTACGTCAGTTCCATAAACCCTAATTTTTTTGTTGCTGTTTCATTTTGATCTTCATAGTGTGATTACACTTCTGTCTATTTTATCTGTCTGATCTGTGATTCCGACAAATGTGTTAGATTTTCTATTCAGCGTTTTGATGGATGTATTGTGTTTGTTGAGTTAAAATTTTTAAGTTTCGTGGTCGTAGGTTCTGTAAGAGATTAGATGTTTCATCTTTTAATCAGTTCAACTCTTCTTGTGTTAAATTGTTTAAAGCTGTTTGATCGGATGTGAAGTTTTTATGTTGTCTAATGAGATATGAAATTTCTTGTAGTTGATTAATGATCTCGAATTGTATAGTTGGTAATGCTGATCATCACAGCGAGTGTTGTTTTTTTTTTGTTTGATGGGTAATTTTGTAGGGTTGTTATAAAAAATGGCTGAGGCAGCGCCTGCTTTGAGGAAGCCTGTGTTCACTAAGGTTAATGAGCTGAGACCAGGAACCAACGGTCACTCACTCAACGTCAAAGTTGTCAGCACAAAGATGGTGATGCCGAAAGGAGGAGGAGGTCGTCCCAGTGGTCCTCAGGCTCGTCAGATGCGTATTGCAGAATGTTTAGTTGGAGATGAGACTGGAATCATAATCTTTACTGCAAGAAACGACCAAGGTTAGAACTCATGTTTTAACATATAAATCTTGAGTTTAGATAGTGTTTTTACAGGAATTGTTGCAGATTTTGGGTATTTCTCAGGTGATTTTAGAGATTTGTTATTGATGTTATGTTATGATTTTTTCTTCTTTTCTATCAGTGGATTTGATGAAAGAGGGCAGTGTAGTGACTCTGCGCAATGCAAAGATCGACATGTACAAGGGGTCTATGAGGCTTGCCGTTGATAGATGGGGACGTGTTGAAGTTGCAGAAGAGCCTACAGACATCACCGTGAAGGATGATAACAACCTTTCGCTGATTGAGTATGAGCTTGTGACCGTCGAAACTTGATGTGGTTCCTCCACAAAAGAAAGCAGAGCGACTCAAAACAAACACACACACAAAAAAAAAAAAAAGACTTATATTGCAAAAGCCTCTATGGTTTGAGTTTTGCAGGTGGGTTTGAGTATCCTGCTTGCCTCTCTGATCTGCTGTTCTTGTTTTGAAAATCAGGTTGCCCTCTTTTTGTAGATTGATTCTCTATTTACATATCATGGGATCTTTCTCTTGTTTTAGTTTTCGTATTTTACTTGGAAAATTTTATAAAAGGATACTATTACGCAGAGAGATGTGTTGGTCCTGTGAGTTTTATGTTATTATACCAATGAAGTTGTTAACATCGAAGCAATCCTTCAGTTTGGCATTAGTCACCCCAACCGGTAAGATCTGCTAGTTACATGATTAAACCCCTTGATCCTATATATTAACCCTTGTAGATTTTGGGTTTTGGTGAATATATATTATCAACAAGTTGATTTGTTGCATTCAAAACACTAATTAGTTAGACATGTACGATTGGTTCCCATATGTTTTCGTGATCATGATATAACACAATTTTCTGCAATATGAATAGCATAAAGCTAAAAAATGTCTGGATTCGGAAGTGAACTCTAGAATCAGATTAACGAGACTCTGCGCAGTAATCACCAGAAGCTGTTGGTCTCGGTAAAAATAATGCAGAGAGATATATAAACCTTGATATGATCTAGTAATTTTTGATGTGTTTATGGATCAGATTAAAGATAACAAATGTTTCGGAGGCATTTTAAGCTCACAGATCGTGTTTCATACATCAAACAACGATGTGATTAAACTTTCCATACATATATTGTAGATATTAAACGTGCTGATATATTGTATATCTTCAAAACATGTTTAAGGACACTTGGATCCACCTTTAGAGTTAGTCATATCACGGTAGCAAGGACACTCATCTTTGTTTCCAAAGGTGCCTGATGGAACACAGTTACACTTCTCGCAACATATATTGCAGTCTTTGAGGCACTCTCCATGTGTTCTATCTGCCTTGGCACATCTCACATTACACTTTCCACCGCATGCTGCTAATTCATTTAGTGTTACATATAAAAATGTTAGAGAAATTCATTACAACTATATAGTGGTTTTAAATAATAAGTTTACCTAGAATAACCAACTAGATTAAGTATAATACTTACCCGAATCAGCGTTTGAAAATACAAAAAGTGAAGATGTGAGAAGAAGAGTGATCATAAAGAATTGTACAACTATGAGCTTCATCTTCACTTTTTGGTTATCTATATTTATTAAGAATAGTGAAAGAGTGCTTGAAGATTGTGGGTAAAAGATAGTGATGATGAAATGTGGCTACAAATAGAGATTATTTATAGTGAAAATTTGAAGTGACTTGTTTGTAATTTTTTGAAAAAAAATAAAACTAAATTACTAATAAAATATTTCTTACTTGCTATGTCGATATAGATTCAGTTAATTATATTCATATACAGAATAAAATCGTATTCATAAATACTAAAGGATTTTTTTTCTTGTAATCAGAATTACAAATTTGTTTCTTATATAACAGAGATATTATCTCTATAAGAGTATAACATAATTTTTGTTCAACTTTAATAAATAATACTAGAATAGTCAGTTTCGATCTGGTAGTGATTGAAATATTTAGACAACGTAAAAGAGAAAACGTATGCAAGTGGACAAAATAGTTAAACCATGTGCTAAACGCACTATAAGACCAAAAAAAAAGTGTCAAGCAAAGATTAACAGCGACAATCTAGGCGATATATACACAGTCGTTTATACCCAAAAAAGGATAGATATACAATTCATTATTCGTCAAATGACATTGAACGATCTTAGCAAAATTAGAAAAAACATGTTTTTGCGGCTAGCAACATGTTTTTCATCAATTTTTTCAAATACAGTCATCATTGTTACGATTATTAGTTTTGAAAGTGCTTTATTTACTACATGTGGAAAGACTATATATAGCTAACATAATTGACTCAAACAAAAAAAAAAAAAAACTACGTACGAACTAAACCGGATGGAATTGGAGTACCAGTGAACCGATAGTGTTACCACCAAATGGAAACATGTTATTGATCCGGTCTATCCCCTCTCATGAGATCAATCAATGGCGCATGATCTAACTGTAGGATCTTTTACAACGTGCCCACTGATCTAAATTTGCTAGGTTCCAAAAATAAACTCAACATCTCCGGCGAACACTTAAAGGGTTCCGTTCCATGTAGACTTGGTCAAGTCTTTAAATTATACATCACCTTCAGTGAATCATTTCAGCAAAACCGATACGGACAAAAAAACGCTCAACAGCTTAACTTCTGTAAGGAATATTGTAACTCGTGGTCTTTTCTTGTATGTTGAATTATGAACAGCTTGTTGACTAATCTTTTAGCTTCTTCTTCTTTTTTGACACCGTATAATCTTGTAGCCTATGACCAGCGATATTTTGATAACTTAAAAGTAGTCCAAAAAGCAAGAAAAGGTTACACACATGTAAAATTGAATCTCTCAACACTTCTAGAAATGAGTCCTACAGTACCAAAGTTTATTTATTGGAAATTTAATTTGGTGAATCTAATTAAGAGTAAAAATTCCATAGTAAAAAGTCTTAGTATTAAAAAAAAAAAAAGGCATTTCTTTCTAATTAAGTAGTGTGTAACCACACGGACGCAATCACAAAAGCCATGACTTTCTTTGAAAACATAATTTTCCACTATAATTGCGCAGCCCTTTCTCCCAAATTTGAGATATGTTACTCTCTCTCCCCATGCCTTTCCTATATAAAGAGAGAGGATTTGAAAAGAGGAAAGAATTAAACATAGAGAATAAGAGAAAAATGGAAAGGGCAAGAGAAACAGGAGAAGGAAGCTCATCGTCGTTGAGGCAACAACGAAACCTCAGAGAGAAAGAGCGGCGAATGCGCATGAAACATCTCTTCTCTATACTCTCTTCTCTTGTTTCTCCCACTCGAAGGGTCCGTTTCTATCTCTCTCTCTCTATCTCTCTAACATTGTACGACATGTACTATTTTATAAGTGTATATATAACAAATTACATAAGTACACAATCATATGATCAATTATAATGTAGAGTTAAAAACAAATGATTCATGTGTATTTTGTCTTTTATGTTTTAGTTGATATATATATTGATAAAAAGCAAATTCATGCAAAAACATGGACGTGATTAAGATTTTGCTTTTATTGGCAGTTGCCAGTGCCTCAACTTATAGATCAATCGGTATCATATATGATCCGATTAAAAGATAAGGTGAACTATTTGGAGGAGAAGAAAAGGGCATTGTTAGGAGGAGAAGTCCAGAATCGCTCTCAAGGGTCGTCACTTCAGCCAAAACTCAGTATTAGGTCACGGGATTCGACCATAGAAATGAATCTGGTTATGGATGTAAACATAAAAAGAGTATTGTTACATGAGCTTGTAAGTGTTTTTGAACAAGAAGGAGCTCAAGTTATGAGCGCCAACCTTCAGAACTTGAATAATAGGACCTTTTATACCATCATAGCGCAGGTATACATTTGTATGATCTCATCCACATGCATGCATGCGTCACGTCTTTTCTTTCTTTTTTTACGTCTCATGTGCGATTTTGAAGGATTATATATATGACTTTTTTTTTTAAATCGCCTAAATGATTATTTCCAGGCCATCATATGTCGTATCGGGATTGATCCATCAAAGATAGAAGAGAGAGTAATGAGTATAATCTCATAATAATTTGTTCCTAAGCATTATTGAATCCCAAATCATTAGGGTATCCTTAATGCAAGGATGGTCTTAGTTTACGCTTGTTTGTTTACAATTCTTGTATGGGAGTTCTTAATAAAATCTGTTAGTTCTTCAATATGAGATCTGCGTATTTTTTAAAAGTAAATTGGTGTAATAGCCGTATTATGGTTTAACATTTTTTAAATGACAAATGTCTTTGATATATATATTGTATATGGCCATTTCCTAAATCGTATCGTCAACTTCTCTATTTTATCTTTCTGTTTTTCCTCCGATAAACATATGTCTAATAAAAAAAAATATATTATTAGGTTTCTTTGTCAAGAACTCTCAAATTTTCATTCATTGAGCACATTATAGACTCACAATTTTCTATTTCAAAACATCTAACATATAGTCATAACTAATATTTTCACACTAATGGTAGATAAAATGTAGGTTATGTAAGTGAATGGGATGATGATCTTTAAAACATGTTTTGGATCCGCCTTTTGGAGTTTGTTATGCAGTTGTAGCAGGGGACACTATTCTTTGTTTCCGTACGTGTCCGAAGGAACACAATTACACTTACTCGCAACAAATATTGCAGAACTTAAGGCATTTTCATGTTGTCAGTCTTTGAGCCTCTCATATTGCACTTTCCACCGCAAGCTACTAATTTACTTATCATCAAATATAGAACATTATAATTATTGACAACTAAATTCTAAAGGATAGTTAATTAGATTAAGTATATAGTTCTTACACTGAATCAGAGACGAACGAAGAAAGATGAGAGGGGCAGAAACACTTTGAAGAATTGTCGAATCTCGAGCTTCATCTTCAGTTTGGGTTGAATATGAAACTTATGTTTTCTCGATAAAGGTTTGTTACCTGATAAAGACGAGTAAAATAAAATGTCAAGTTTACAAACGAAGGCAAAAGAAAAAAAATGGTGATGACTTGAGATATATATGATGAAACTGTGGCTGCAAAAAAGAGTATATTACTAAATTATAGTGAGAAATTTAGAAGCGAAATATTTGTTATCTATTGTAAGAACACACCAAATCATAGTTACGGAGAGGCTCATCTTTGAACAATAGTTGTAGCCTGTGGCTGTAAGGGATTCGCCAAATCATTGGTGATGGCAACGATCGAGTCAAGCAAATATATCTTCTTATCTTGTCTGCCACCCAAAGGACGAGTTTTAATGTGCGAATTCAAATATATGAAGAAAGAATAAAAAACATGTGGAACATGCAAATATGAAATAATACAAATCAACTTGGCACTTACTGCACCTTCTAAGGAAGTGTGGTCAAGCAAGCGGCAAGACGATATATATACAGTGTTATTCCTCAAGTATGATTGTACGAAGTTCTAAAACTATCTAGGATAAAGACGTACGAATGGAGAAAGACACACACGTTCTCCTTTTATTCTCTTATGATAATTTACTCGGTTGCAAAATTAGGACTAACATCTCTACCAGCAGGACTCCAAGACTCAAACAATAGTTAGACATGTCTAATTAGATACGGTCTCATTTTGTATTCATCTCCCGTGAACGATTAATTTAGATCCTCGTTCCATGTAGCAAGGCGTTTAAGTCTCCGCGGGTGAATGATTGTAGACACAATATGGCCAAAAGAGAGTTGCGGCCTTCAATAATTTCCTGTAAGGGAATATTAAATGGGCTGTGTCACTTTTCTTTGTATGATAATGATAGCTTGTTGAATAATCTTAATTAGTTTCTGGCCTCAGTATACTTGGAAAGTTTATTTATGTGCGCCTGGTTAATTGAACATGGGACTGAGTAGTGGTCCCAATTCTATCGGTGTACAAAACAGTTTTCCTTTTCTTTTCGTATGTTGATGTGGGAACGTAGTGCTTTTGTAGGAATTTAGTTTTGTCATTTGTGTACGTCCTCGGACTATTTGAGGCCATTAATTGAGATGGTTTTTGATAAGAATTTTGCTACTAAACCTACTATAGTACTAAACCAGCAACTCACTGGACTAAAACTTATAGTTAAGTAGCATGAAAAGAAAAAAAAAAAAATCTTTTAACGTTATGAATCTCACATATATATGTCGAAACATCACTCTTGATGACTTGGTAGTATTAAAGAAGATGCATGCATATTATTTAATTATTAGTGTGTAAGCTATGACTTTCTTTATGTATATAAAAAAACATCATTTTCATTAAAGATTCAAAAGCTCTTTCTCTCAAGATTGAGTTTTTTTAACTTTCTGGCTCTCCCTATAGCTATATCTCATTATATATAAAGAGAGATGGATTCGATAGGAGCTAGAGAAACATATGCATGAAAGCTTAAAAGAAATTAAAAAGAATGGGGAAGGCGAGAGGAATAGGAGAAGGGAAATTATCCTCCTTAAGGGAACAACGAAACCTCAGAGAGAAAGATCGACGGATGCGCATGAAACATCTCTTCTCTATACTCTCTTCTTATGTTTCTCCAACTCATAAGGTTCGTTTCTCTCTCTATATGTATAGATCACTTCCTAGTATAAACTCTCTCTTTCTCTCAAAACTTGTATTAATTAAAGTGTACATGTATGTGTTTTTTATACGCATATACAACAATACCCACATGAATAATTCATTGTTAAATGTACAAACAATTATTCGATATATAAACAAAAACATGAAACTAAAGTAAATAATTAACTTGGGTTTTTATTGGCTCTAACAGTTACCAGTGCCTCAACTTATAGATCAAGCGACAGCATACATGATCAAATTGAAAGGGAAAGTAGATTATATGAAGGAGAAGAAAAGGACATTGTTACAGTTAGGGGAACTCGGGAATGCCTATCAAGCGTCCTTCCTTCAGCCGAAACTAAGTATTCGTTCGCGGCATTCGACAATAGAAATGAATCTGATTGTGGATCTAAACATGAAAAGAGTAATGTTACACGAGCTTATGAGTGTTTTTGAAGAAGAAGGAGCTCAAGTAATGAGTGCTAATCTTCAGAACTTGAATGATAAGACAACTTACACAATCATAGCCCAGGTACCGTATCTGTATAAACAAATCTATTCACATGTTTGTATCATCATATACACGTTACACACGTCGTTTACTCCTGTCTTTTATATATAATTTTATCATATGTTTTGCAGGCTATGATAAGTCGGATCGGGATTGATCCATCAAGTATCGAAGAGAGAGTACGAACAATCATCTATGGATATATTATGTTTTGAAGCATGAATTCCCAAATTATAAGTCTACGTACGCTAGTGTTTCTGCAATGTTCTTTTGAGTGTTGTTATTTTTATTTTTTAAAACAAATGTTCTTTAAATATAATAACGTGAAATAATTAATAAATCCTAGAGAATTAAAAAAAAGGGTAAATTTCCTTTTTATTTTTATTTTCTTACAAATTTGTTATGAAAATGCATAAATAATGATGAACAAGTAAAATATCTGTCCTCAATCACTCAAACGACAAGAAAGGTATTATTATTATTATGGGCCTTCCATGTTTTGATGTCCTAAAACTGTTTTTTGTATTTCGTTCTTTCCGGTTTATATCGGTTTGACTTGGTGTGTTTTTACCCGGGGATGTAAATGTCAAGCAAATACATTAACGGGGTGAATGTGCAAACAAAACAAAAGTCAGGGTCTATCTTTCAGAAAATATAATAATGTGTAATAATTAATAAATTCTAGAGAATTAAAAAAAAGGGTAAATACATTATTGGATTTAGGGATTTAAAACCCTTGCACAACAGAGAAGAAGAAGAAAAAAAAAAATCTCAGTAAAAGTTTCATTGTGAACGAACACTTTGGTGTGAGCAAAATCGTCGAGATGGATCTCATTCAATCCTACGAAGAAGATGAAGCCGTCGATTCTTCACCGGAATCGTCACCGCCTCGTATGTTAAAGGCGAAATCTGCTGCACCGGAGGTAGACGATACAGCGCTAGCTCTAACGGTGGCTAATGTCAATCAATTGAATTCGAAGCCGATTAATCCGACGCAACACGCCGTCGTGTTCAACCCTACTTATGAACAGCTCTGGGCTCCGATTTACGGACCCGCGCATCCGTATGCCAAAGACGGGATCGCCCAAGGGATGCGGAATCACAAGCTAGGGTTTGTGGAAGATGCTTCGATTGGATCCTTTGCGTTTGAGGAGCAGTACAATACGTTTCATAAGCATGGTTACGCGGCGGATCCGTCTGGGATGAATTACGTCGGCGATGTGGATGCGTTGATGCAGAACGATGGTCTTTCGGTTTATAACATCCCGCAGAGTGAGCAAAAGCGGAGGAAGATTGAGAGGAACAAAGAGGAGAAGGAAGGGGAAGAGAAAAAAGAAGAGATTGAGCCTGAGGTTGAGAATCCGGCCACTGAAACGTGGCTTAGGAAGAATAGGAAGAGTCCTTGGTCGAGGAAGAAGGAGGTTGTTCAGGGAGAGTTGACTGAGGAGCAGAAGAAGTATGCAGAGGATCATGCTAAGAAGAAGGAAGAGAAGGGACAACAAGGTGAAGCTAAAGGAGAGCATTATGCGGATAAGAGTACCTTCCATGGCAAAGAGGAGAAAGATTATCAAGGGAGATCTTGGATTGAGGCTCCCAAAGATGCAAAGGCGAACAACGATCATTGTTACATTCCAAAACGTTTGGTTCATACATGGAGTGGTCACACGAAAGGTGTTTCTGCTATTAGGTTCTTCCCAAAGCATGGACATTTACTTCTCTCTGCAGGTATGGATTGTAAGGTTAAGATTTGGGATGTGTATAACTCTGGTAAATGCATGAGGACCTACATGGGTCACGCCAAAGCTGTGAGGGATATTTGCTTCTCCAATGATGGGACTAAGTTCTTAACTGCTGGGTATGATAAGAACATTAAGTATTGGGATACGGAGACTGGCCAGGTTATATCGACTTTCTCGACTGGGAAGATTCCATATGTGGTTAAGCTGAATCCGGATGATGACAAGCAGAACATTTTGTTGGCTGGTATGAGCGATAAGAAGATTGTGCAGTGGGATATTAATACGGGGGAGATTACACAGGAATATGATCAGCACTTGGGTGCCGTTAATACAATCACGTTTGTGGACAACAACAGAAGATTTGTCACATCGAGCGATGATAAGTCTCTTCGTGTGTGGGAATTCGGAATCCCGGTGGTTATCAAGTATATTAGTGAGCCCCATATGCACTCTATGCCTTCGATTTCTGTCCACCCAAATGGAAATTGGCTTGCTGCGCAGAGTTTGGATAACCAGATTCTGATCTACAGTACCCGAGAAAGGTTTCAGCTGAATAAAAAAAAGAGGTTTGCAGGGCACATTGCCGCTGGTTATGCATGCCAAGTTAACTTTTCGCCAGACGGTCGGTTTGTAATGTCAGGAGATGGTGAGGGTAAGTGCTGGTTTTGGGACTGGAAGAGTTGCAAAGTCTTTAGGACTCTTAAATGCCACAATGGAGTATGCATTGGAGCCGAATGGCATCCTCTGGAACAGAGTAAAGTCGCAACATGTGGTTGGGACGGCTTGATTAAGTACTGGTAAGTAACCTTCTTCCAATCTGTTTGGTTTATTTATGTGTTTGTCATGATGCATGCCTTGTTTTGCTTAACAGATGCATAATAGTTGTTGCTTTAAATAAGTGTAGCAAAGCTGGAGTTGTCGTCTGAGTAGCCTGCATGTAGGATGCATGCGTCTTAAATCTTTAGGAATCAGATCTCTTATATAGTCCTATTCTCTGGAAAATAGTTTTGACTTTTAACTTAGAAAGTAGTAGAGAGACAGACAACTCGATGGATTCATTACTCATTTGTACATATGTTATGGAACGGATAATGAATTCCACTATATATGTTGCACTATCAATACTCATGATTTTGCTATTACGTGGATAATAAAACTAATTTCTACAATGATTCTAATTATTTTAATTCACCAAGAATTTACTCTATTTTTTACTATCTCTGATCATTGGATTCAGTATTAGTCCATGTAACAAATTATAACCTCGTGGCTAAAGAAGTCAGTCATACTGTTTGATACTGATGTTTTGTTGCGCATATGCAGGGACTAAGACAAGACAAAGGCATTATAGAGGAAGAGAGAGAAGTAGAAGGCGCAGAAATCACGGCCTAGCCTGGGCTATACAGAATGCTGCATCTTTGGGATACAAAGCCTCCTTTTAAGTTCTGCTTTCCTCTGTTTTAGATTCTTCAATGTTGTAACAATGTGAGTTTAATGGATTATGTAGAGGAGGCGACTAAAACAATTTTTAATGCTTGACAGAAACTGTTGGCTAAGTCGTTATAAAGATAGCTTGTAAGACGTGACAATTTGCAAAACCTATCTGCAGCAATATCAGCTTTCATCCGGATTCAGTACTATTTGTCTATTGGCTTGTACTTGTTACTTTTTTCTGATTATGTCATGCTTCTTGGTTATTAGTTATTACGGGACTTGAAGAAAATGACCCGTGAACAAAAAAAACTCTTCTTTCATTTCTTAGTTAAGAGTGGCCAAAGTCAACTTTTCTCTGTTCTATACAGCTTTTAATCTGTTTGGTTACCCTCGCGAAATAGATTAACGAGAATGTTCCAGATTTTGATCCTTAAAGCCGAAGCTTCATTGGGTTTAAACCACTTCTTGTGAATCTGGAGATGGACTCAAGAAAACGAGTTAGTGCTAACAAACATATACTTCAGAAGAGATCAAGAGGAGGAGGTAGAAGAGAAACACACCATTCCCAAATCCTTCAGTTTCAGCCTTTGCGGAGCTTCTTCGATGAAACGCTTTATGAAGAAGAGCACAAACAGACCACAGTCGAAATCATTCTTCTGTTGTGGAACCTGAGATGGTGATGAAAAAATAGATGAGTACTATATTTTGTCTTTAGACACCATACATTGCATCGTAAGAAGTGATTACGGACTAGCCTGCACTTCAGCTTCGTTGATCATATTGGGAAGGTCTGTCCATACTTTTGCTGAAATTGGTAAATCCATTGAAGCATCTTGGTTCAGATAGTTCCATTCCTCTCTCAGAAACCTGCAAAGTTGTAATTAACAACCACAAAAATAGAATTTAATGAATGTGGTCTTAACACTGAGAAACTTTACATAATTGGTACGGATTCCTTGGCTCTCACCTTTTGACATTATTGAAAATCAAATTTCTTGGGTGAAGTCCCAGTGAATCTAAGTGAATTATGGTCAATCCAGATTCGTCTTCGTGGTCTGGGATGCAAATTATTACCAAGCTCCAGTGGAGACTGAAACATCCAAGGGAAAAAAGACCATTCAACAATTTATCAATTGGTGCTAAGAGTAACATTTCTCCATTACAAAGTACAGACTGAGAGCGTAGATGACAAAAACTACTCTTCATGCCATAAAGATGCAATCATAGGATTCAATAGACAACGGTCAGAAAATTACTTACTCTTCATGTATTGGTATAAATATATATGATTTACGGAATAGATCTAAACCCTTCCACCACCGTCTGAACCTTACAAAAAATGCATCCTTGTCATTACCCTGGTCATATTGAAAGGCGAAGACGAAGAGACCGATCAACACGAATAACCAAGAAGAAAATGATGTGAATCACAGGATGCAAAAGAGGAGGTAGTATTATCACTTTCCTCTCAAGTCTCAATTGTTGTTAGAGTTGCATATGAAATATCTAGATTCAACCTTCTACAATAGAATACTGAAACTTAAAGCATCTTGAGGGCTTTCAATATTTTGAGATGCAAACCAAAAATAAATGAGCTGCAAGAATCACCTTGTATAAAACAGCTTCTGTGAGCTTCTTGTAGAAAAACGTGTTGAAGAAATGACAGTTAGCGGCTGTCTCATTCGCTGAAAATACGTGGTGCTGCAAGAACCTAGTCAGACAGAAGCAAAATTAATCACATAAAAGACATAACATGAGAGAGATAATGTAAGTATGCAAGCCGGTACTTAAGAAACACCTGAGGTAGAAATTTATAACTGGCGACGTAAGATATTCTCCAGGTGAAAGGCATTTTAGATCTTTAAGAGACACTTGAACAAGGTCTCGCCCGTGATCACTGGATGAGAAAAAAAAAAAAAAAAAAAGGAAGTCATATATCTTATGGGTAACCAGAATAAGTAAAACAAGGTAATTTTTCACCCACCTTGATGGGTAGTAAATATCTTCCGGTAACCTGCAGAATTCACCAAAATTTAAGTTATTTCAACAAGAAAGGGTCAGTCACTTGATGAAGATAAACAGTAATAACTCAATTTTTACCCTTCAGGAAGTTCACATGCTTCCTCTACTACCGTTGGAGACTGAGGTTCATCTTCATCCAAATTAATCACTTTATCATCTGATTTCTATAACGAAAGTGTCAGAAAGCGTGTCCTTATATATATTAATTATATACAGGAATACGAGTGTATCTGTGTATGGCATAAGATGTCATACCTTCTTGGAGCTTAAACCCTGTGATGGTGTTGCTTTCGAACTCCACTCCCTGTGAGAGAAAGATGCAAAATATGTAACATACTAAAAAAAAACCCGAACAATGGTTAGCCAGGGCCACAAGATATGGCATACATAGCAGTAACCAGCAATCTTGAACTTGAAAAGACGTGCAAAAAATCTCAGAGGCAGTAGCAAGGAGAAAAGATATATACCTGGGATCTTCATAGCCAATGACATCGTCGTCATCATCATCGTCGACGAGTAAATAAGGAGAAGAGTCCTTTGGCTTTACTTTACCATAAGCTTTGTGGGGTTTCCGATTCCCTTTTGGATCCTTAGATCCAGAATAAAAGTTATTTTCACTGACCTTACACTTACTTAACCTTGGCAGCGACCGCCACCCATTACTTTTCTCTATTATTGAATCTCTATTGGATTTTGCTTTCCAGCTTCCACCTCTCAAATCATGTATTTTGTCATTAGATAGTTTCACTGGTTGAGCATCCACCTGTTAAACAAAAAAAATATCAATTTGCATCAAGAAGAAGGCACGTAAAAGAATTTAAACGACAGGGAATGTAGAAAACACCATACTTTGGGGTTGTCACTAAAATGAGCAGAAAATGTTGAGCGAGACACATTATTCGACTCTTGTCTAGAGGAGTCTTTTGAGGCTGTATTCTCTTGCCTAGACACATCTAAAGAACTTTACATGTTAGAGACAAATCTTTTCACTTTACACCAACGTCAGCTGGGGACAAACTGTAACAAGATACCTGAGCTTTTTGGTTGCTCGAGAATCTGACATCCGTTGTCCGGATCGTGCTAAAGAAAGGGAAAAAACAAATGGCATTGTATCAGATAAATTCATTTCATCTTTTAAAAACAGAGAGCCATATTTTCAGCTAAACCCCTCGAAGAATCGGTGGACATAACTTTTGAGTGTCCCGACCGCGCGTGCAGTCAAATGTTGCCTAATAGAAATCGTGACTAAGGATTATACATACCAGAACGGCAGAACTATACTAAACAAGTGAGAATGTAAGAACCAATGAGAAGCTTTTTCAGAAACTTGAACCAATCACCAAACTCTAAATCCCACTGAGCAAAATAACCTTCGAGCCACAGTCAAAACACAAAATGATGCAGCTGGAAGTGTAAAAAGACAAACCGGTTTGGTCCGATACAGCATTCTTCGCTGCTTCTCGTACGCAAGGTCTCCAATTCTGTTGCGGATTTTGTCGCCCTTGTCTGGCAACCTGTCACCGTAACCAGCAAGAAGTGATCTCTGACGCTCCAGATGCTCCTCTAGTTCATTGTCCGTGAGGGATCGCACGCAGACGACGGAATCATCGCCGGAGAGAGTAGCCTCAGGCGGCGGAATTTTGTCTGTGCCGATGATCTCAAGCTCGGGAACTTCTTCCTCGGCCAAAGCATCGTCCCAATCTATGTTGAACTTTGTATTCTTCACACGATCTAACTCGATTACTCTTTGCCTCTTCATTTCTTCATCGATCAAAGTACCAAAATATTATTTAGGTTTCGGTCGGGAATTCTCCCCGCTATTCTCATCACTTCTTTTTCATCTCTTGCAATTGCAACTTTTGGTCTGGTTTCCTAAAATTAAAAATAAGATAATGGGCTTTCAACTCAAATCCAATTAAACTGAAACAGTCGATATCGATTAGATTACGGGCTTTCAATTCAAAACCAATTTTATTTTATATAATATATATGTATTATTTTTCTCCGTATATTTGTTAAGATATAGATAACAACAAGTTGTCTAAGTTTTTATTTTGTTTAAAGTTAGGATAACTTTCAGATTAATATTGTTTATTATATCAAAAACATTAAGTTATACTGAAATCTTAAACATGAAATAATTTTCTTTCAAAAATCATTATGTGAAAAGTATCAAACTCATATATAAAAACTATACTACATCCAAAGATGCCAAACAACATTTTGCGCCAAATTTACCAACTTAAACTAGTAACTGCCTTATCAATGTTAGATTTGCGAACGAGTTCAAATATTTCAGACACCAATTTGCGTTTCCAACTTGGTGCATCATGTGAGTGAATAGACCTACCTGAAAAAAAATGCTAGGTGCTTCTATTGTCTTTAGTGTGGACCAAGATATATAGTTGTAATGTTAATTTTAGGTTACATGTTCCATTGTAATAGCTTTTACAAATTCATTTATACCCAGAAACATAATTACATTATGGGTTGAGTATGGACATGATAGCTTCTTTAAAAACATGAAGCTTATTGCCATGTCCATCCCCCCAGTAGCTAGCTCTTTGGTTTATTTAAAATATATACCCGAGCTAATAATATACATCAAACACTTGTATTGTATGTAACAAATAATAAATGAATTTCACCCTTAACCTAAGCTTCTATTTTGGTAAATAACTCTTTTTAAAAAACTCAAGAGTTACTTGTGTACCAAAATTCACCAGGCGTGGACGAACCGTCCTCTTTGAAGACTCGGTTCAACTGAACCGGACGAACCGGTTTTTCTCTCCTGGAACTCATGGATCATTCTGATCAGCGCACTAGCCTTCTTGCTTCCTCCATATTCGCCGTTACTTAACACCGTGTAAAGCGACCCCATTACCAACGAGTTCTTCACCAGAACCCCAACGACGTCACGGCCTCCGTTAAGGCACAGGTTCAAAATCAGACCAACAGAGTGCTGTTTCACCGCCGGCGAAACATCCGACGAAGACAAAATCTTCACCGCGAGTTTCAAACCGCCACGACGAATCACCCCAATCGTCCCGTCAGGATACTCCGCTAGCTTCGCCAGCGTCGCTAAGCAATCCGCAGTGAGTTCGCCGCCGATTTCTTCCGATCTCAACAGATCAAGAAGTATCGGAACAGCTCCGGCGGCGAGAACACGCCAATGGTTATCTGATTGCATCAACAAACCCATAACCGCAAGCAACGCGTTGCGTTTCGCTGAACCGCCGTAATCTTCTCCTTTGACGATCTTCATCAATCCTGAAATCGAATCTGGATTCTCTCCGATCAGTTTGCTGTAATCTTCATCGGAAGAGAGATAAAACAGAGCAGAAGCAGCGTATAGTCTCGTCTCTGTTTTAGCTCCTTCGTTGAGAATCTCTACAATGATCTTCAACCCTTCTCCGGCAATCTTGGATTTTCCAGTGACGTGCTTGGAGAGATTCAAAACCCCAGCCATTGCGTTTTCTTGAATCTTGGAATCTTCGGAGCGAAGAAGCCTTAACAGTGGACTCACAGCTCCAGATTTAACCAGACAAGACCTGTTAAAACTACTTGTCTTGGTCTGAACACGAATCTCCCTCACGGCTCTGTAAATCGTCTCCTTGCCGCCATTGAGTAGCTCTGAAGTGAGAAACTTTGCTATAAGCTTCCCAGCTCCCGTTGCAGCCAAACTCTCCGGCACCACGTCGTCTTGAGTCTTCCTTCTCCGGCCAACATTACCCGCCAAAACGATGCCGTTTGCTCTGCAGTGCTTATAAATCACTCGCCTCACGGAAACGTTATCAACCAGATCAGTACTCGCGAGAATCTTTCCGGTTTTAGGGCACGTGATGTTCCCAGATCCGATCCATTTAGTGATGGAGCTCCGATCATAGGTGTGCCCTGTTTCTATAACTACAGGGTCCATCATAATCTCTAGTGAAATTGGACAAAGGAGATCCTCGTCCTTTAGTCCTCGAATCAAGTCTTGATCTTTCTTAGTATCGTCCTCATGATAAAGATGATGATCATCTCTCTCGATTCGTGGAAGTATGACGCATCTGCAATAGCATATGAACCCCATTAAGCTACTGAGAAGCTCGACTCGAACGTTACTATTCTTCTTCTTCTCATCTAACCGCTCCACAGCTATCTCTTCTCCGAGAAAGTTGATCTCTTTGACGCAATCTCCCCATTTTTTAATCCCTACGTAATCCAGGATCCGGTTTATCTCATCCGGATCTGGACTAACTCTGTTCTCAAACAGAGCAAGGATCCGATAAACAGAGCTCATGACCCGTATATCATTTGTTTCAGGTTGGACTCCGTACTTACGAGTTTGCCGCACCACTAAGTCAACCAGGTCGTTGACTTCGCTCGGTAAGTCAACGGATGCGACAGGGAAGGCGACAAGGCTGGTGGATATGGATCGAGTCAGGACACGGAGATGATCCGAGACTTGATCAGAGTTCATCATCATACATAGCCTAGCTCCGTCTCTTGTGCAGTCTTCTATAAGGAACTTGAGCTTCTGGAAGATGACGTGGATCTCCTTAAGGCTCAAGAGGGCGGGGGAGTCGTGGAAAAAGCGTCTTGGATTCCCGACTCGGACCCGGATCTCTTCGAAGATGATAACCAGGTTTTGGATCCGCCTGAGAGTTTCTCTGAAGCTTTGTTTATTGGTGGAAAAGTGTTTGGACTTGAATGCGAGAATGTCGCCGGCAAGTTGAATGAGTGAGTCGAGTAAGGTGCCTATGGAGATTGATTCGCATGGTTGCACAGCCGGAAAGATCAAGATCCGACGACCTGACCCGGTTTTAGTATGGATCATGCTGCTACGACTTTTAAGATCAAAGTTAGTTTTTGGATGCTTGTGATTTGTTTTTTCGAGTAACACGGCGACATGGAAGGTGGGGGAAATATATAAAGAGTTGACAAAGGTTGGAGACGCGTGGCTAGATACCATTGGTCAGTGTTACTTGGAAACCCTGACCAGTGACAGTGCGAACACGTGAGATCCGCCGAAAACGAGGAAGAGGTTGCTTCGTAGATCGTAGTGGAGTGTGTGATGAGGATCCCACGTGGTCATGAAGTTACGTGCATGGAGTCTGCCGACATTTTGTACGACCCATGTGTTGTAAGAAACAACGTATGGATAACAGGATATTTCCTCTTTCAATTATTCATTTATTTCATAAATTCTTGTATAGTTTTTTGTTTCGATCAAAGTAATTAATTTCATGACTTAAGTCTAGATAGCTGAAATACTTACGTAAACCAATACTATGTTATCTGATTAATTTGTATGGATGTGATTATTAAAAGAAATATTGGAGAGGTTTACATACAGGAATATGGTTTTTGGGATTTGTGATCATAGTACAATTTGCTTTGGTAATTTGTCGTGGGGGTGAGTTGTTTAGCCTTATCCATATAGCATTTTTACAAATAATCTTATTCAGTAAAATTGAATATAAACTCACGGTAACAAAACAACTTATATAAGCTCATCCAAGCGCATGATCACTTCTTCTTTTTGATTAGTTATTGTGAAAATTCCATATTTTATTTTGGAATCTTGTTAGGTTTTTGTTACCTGAGATGCCTTAAAGTATGATATTTTTCAGGTGGTACTCTACATATAGTAATTTATAGGAGTAGTGTCAAATGTGAGAAGGAGTTGTTATAATATTCGGGAACAATGGCCGGTCGAGTTATTAGTGGACCATCTCTTTTAAAATTGCAAGAACTAATCATTCAAACGCCAAAGTCAACCGTTTGGACTGTCTCGCTTTGAGTTATACAATTTGGTTGAGAGCATTTACGTGGAATTATCATGGGAGCATCATAATTTCGAGCCACTTTGTCCTGGCTGTCCATCACGATATATATTATTTCATTCATAATTTCATGCCATAGTTAGGATCAAAACGATTCGAATCAAATTAAAATCGCAAGGATTATAAACCGATTTTGTTGAGATGTTACAGGCTTAGTTCTCGGGACATCAGTTATATTCCACTTACTTAACAATATTTACTTAATTAATGTCACTCGTTACATCATCCTTACGAGGTTTTGATTTGAAAACGGCTAAATTAAAGACTGGGACAAAAGCTTAAAGACGTTTTGATCATGACAATTAATACATAGCATTGTTTCTTTTAGTATAAATAAACGGGCAAGGATCTTTTTATTATTCATCAGTCAAAAAAAGCAAACTTCACATAGAGAGTTAATATTTGCAATTCCAAGAGTTTTTTCTCAATATGTCTATCAAGAATGTTCTTCTTCTTCTAGTGATCATAGGTGTTGTTGTCTCTACAAATGCTCAGTTACCTCAATTTCCGTTTCCTTTTCCATTCCAACCCATTCCCGGCATGCCAGGGTTACCCGATATAGCAAAGTGTTGGTCATCAGTTATGAATATTCCTGGATGTATCACTGAAATTTCTCAAGCCATATTAACCGGAAAATTCGGCAGTATTGGTCCAGCTTGCTGCAAAGCATTCTTGGAAGGTGAAGCTAACTGCATGCCCAAAATCCCATTCAATCCATTTTTTCCTCCTATGTTGAAAGAGCAATGTTCAAAAATTGCAGGCGCAGTTCCTCCTGCCACCAAGTAAAATTTTGATTATGTTGATCGTTTAAAGTTTTAGTTGGTTTATGTCTTTTTTTTTATATATATTTCCTTATCGACGTTTAGTCATTTTCTTAAAATTACCTTAGTTCTATAATGCTATAAACAAGAATTACAATAATTTTAATGTTGTCAGTAGTTTCTTCAATAATCGTTATTTGATTATGAAATAATGCTTAATTAAGCTCTCATCAACGCATTATGCATTTACTTAAATATTTGAAAGAAAGCAACATCATAAAATGTGTTAATATGATTATTATTATTATTATTGTTTTGGACAAACTGAAGATTATACTAAAACAGAACGATTACACTCTATGGGAGGAGAAATTGATTACCTAATTTAATTTAATTCAATGTGAGGCGGACAAGTGAATGCTCTGTTTCAGCCTTCAGGCTTTTAGCGACTCAGAGAAACAACACTCGCAGTCGTCCAAGCCCCAAGCTGATCCGTCTCTCCGCCCATCACAAACACTTGGCCCATCTTTCATTGGCCTATAAGCCCATAGAATGGCAAACGCAAACCAACACCGTCGATAGTTACGTAAACTTGATCGTCCATCATGAACTAAGCAAAAACCTTCCAAACATACCAAAACTTACAAATTTGATCGTTTCGACATTAAAAGCAACAAATTTTTTGTCTAGATAAACTACGTTGCATACACCTAGTTTATACGAATGTGACAACTGACAACGATTAAGAAGTTCATACCCATTAAACTTTACTTAGGAGGTGCCGTATTATATCACCTAGTGTGAGACCTAGAATTATAATTTACCACAAACATATGTATTTTTGAATATCATATTTTTATTGGAATCTGAGTAGATTAATTAACTTCATATGATAATATAGATATCGTAATTAATGGAATTTGCAAGCAATTAATTTAAAATAATAATATAGATCTCGTAATCTTCATAAAAATATATATAAACGTATGATTGTATGTTGTGAAGTTTGTTAGGGTGACATGATCAAGATGAGAGGATACGTGATGTTTGTGCGCCGAATTTAAAATTATACTTAACAACAATATATGATATAATAAGAATAAAATCAAGAAGAAAACAAAATATAAATAAGACATAACCATCATCAATTATAAATGGATGCTGAAAATGCAGATTTGATTGGTCGGTTAAGGTTTGATATGAACCATCTGTAAATTGCCAGCCGGAGTGTTGCTGTATTGAATTGCGCATGTCAACTTGTTTATGTTTACATCATAAACTCTCTTGTCCTTTTTTTTCCTACTCTTTCTTTTCTTCAGTTTATTAAACGAAAATAATACTGTATAACTCTTTTATAACTAGTATTATTTTCAAATTTTAACATTTATTTTGTTTCAAAGACTGAATATTCAACAACAAAAAAAAGTTCTAAAACTACTGTCGAATATAGAATTTTCGTTAAAAATATATGGGTTAAGTATGCCTAAAGAAATAATGTACTAGTTTCAAATTTCATAATATTTAGAATACTTTATACATATAATCAAATAATTCCAAAAATACATTCGGTGTGTTAAGATGTTCTGATGCAACTAAATACCAAGAAAAAACAAATAGGTGTATCAAATTCAAAATAATTATTATTTCTTATATAAAAAGAATAGAAGGAGATAAAAGAAAAAAAAATGGCAAAAGAGGAAAGGAGAAGTCAAAGCATGGTTATAGCATTACCATGCCCACTTCATCATGAAGTCGTCGTATAGACGCGTTAATATGTGTGCGTGTGTGTAAAATAGTGCATAATGTTTACTCTTAACAAATTATAATTAATCAACCAAAACAAAACTTAATTGTATCAAATCAATGAAAGGGGAAAACAGCCAACCACATGCAAATGTCCCAAAGTGTCTTAAACCTGAATGCAAAAGTGTATTACTCTGACAACATGTGCCGCTGCAACATTGAATTCAATGTTTTCCTTTGGTCATCAGTTATGAATGATCCTATAATAAGTAACATTTTCTGAAATTCATGGAGAAGTGTATGCTGCTACTGATTTGATTCTGAAATTATGATAGTCGATCGAAGAATATAGAAACAGCCAAACTAAAAGCACTTGGGAACTGTTGAACGGAGCCAACTAAACGTCGTCACATGCATATAGTAGTAGATGTTGTATATATTAACTTCTTTTTGTAATAGAATTAAGACATATATTTACCAACATTCTTCAGTAACAAAGACAAAGGAATCTCTCTATCTTTTGTAACGAAGATCAATAAGAGCCAGCTTGTCTACAACTCATTATATCAAATACCTAGTCTACCCCTCCCACTGTCCCAGCCTAACCATCTCTATATATAACACACTGACACACATATACCTATAATATACACCCACACTAATCATCAGTAATCACAAACTCACAAGTATCAAACACAAACGAAAATGGGTTCTTTGAGGAAGTACAACAAGAAGACTCTGTTGGTAACAGCAGTTGTGTTTTGTCTCTGTTCATTGTCTTTGGTTTCTTCTCACAGCAGGAAATTCACGACACCAACCGTGACCCGCCTCACAGATCAATTCAGTAAGATCGCCATTGAAAGTGGCTTCTCCAGGCGTTTCGGAGCTCACAATATTGTAGTCAATGGCTCCCTCGCTAAGCTCACTCTCGACAAATCCTCTGGTAATACAACTCTACTCAGTTCTGTTCTGTTTTCGTTTCCTCTGTTTTCTGACTTATCTACGTATGTGAATACTTGTATATAATATTTGGATATCACATATTTGCAGGAGCTGGGTTGGTGTCAAAGAACAAGTATCAGTATGGTTTCTTCAGTGCAAGACTCAAGCTTCCCGCTGGATTTGCCTCTGGTGTTGTGGTTGCTTTCTACGTACGTATTATATGATTTAACCTCTCTTATATCAAAAATAGTTCTTTTCAAGACATACTAAAGTGTATTTTCGATATGCAGTTATCAAACGCAGAGAGTTATCCGAAAAACCACGACGAGATAGACATAGAGTTGTTGGGTAGAAGTAGGAGAGATGATTGGACGATCCAAACGAATGTGTATGCAAATGGAAGTACAAGAACAGGGAGAGAAGAGAAGTTCTATTTTTGGTTTGATCCAACTCAATCCTTTCACGACTATACTCTCATTTGGAACTCCCACCATACTGTGTAAGTCACATTCACATCCATGACTACGATCATCTTTCTTCTTTAATTTCTTAAGAATTAGTATTATTTATCGTCATTCAATATAAGAAAAGGAAAAGTCATGGGCCAAGGAGAGTCAAGAGAAATAGAAACATTTATATTTAGGTTCATGAATCATCCCTAAGCTAATGCTTTCATGGAGATAACTAGAATGTTTTTTTCTGTATAACTTTTTTGAATTGACATATGACAAAAGATTTAATTAAATCATATATAATGACCATTTGTCATCTACTAAAGTTACAAATTAATAAAGGCCACCTAATGCATGTTGACAAACAAAACCAAATATACTAGATGATCTTCTTAGATTAATATTACAATATATTTAGGGATTGGTTTTAAATTTGTGATACCCAATAATAGAAAGAAACTCAATCTATTATATTTTAAAATTCTAACTTCGGGATTCCATATCAATTAACTAAACCGGTGAATGGATTTTACAGATTTTTGATAGACAACATTCCGGTTAGGCAGTTTCCGAACCGGGGAGCCTTCACAAGTGCGTACCCGTCTAAACCGATGTCTCTATACGCCACCGTTTGGGACGGTTCGGAGTGGGCAACTAAAGGTGGTAAGTACCCTGTCAACTACAAGTACGGCCCCTTCGTCGCATCCGTAGCTGACGTGGAGTTAAGCGGCTGCTCCGTTAGCGACAGCTCATCTACCGGGTCCAGGCCATGCACCAAGTCGGGCGGGTCGGTTTCGAGTCTGGACCCTGTTGATGGTCAGGATTTTGCCACGTTGTCGAAGACTCAGATCAATGCCATGGATTGGGCAAGGAGGAAGCTAATGTTTTATTCTTATTGTAGTGACAAGTCGAGATACAAAGTCATGCCTGCTGAGTGCTGATCTCAGTGCAACTAAATTTTTATTTATTTATTCGTTAAAACAAAAACACACATAAGTTATTTTCTAAAATACGTTTTTTTTTCTTTCTTATGGTATACTTTTACTTAGCATATATAGTGGTTGGAAATAATGTTTAAATGTGCCTTCTTATGTTGTCTGTTCGCCAGATTTTACAAAAATGATTAAAGCACTTGTCTAAGTTTGGATATGATTTAGTTAATTAACAACACTGAGATTCAATTATATACGTTCTCTCACAAGTCACATCACATGTAACTCAAAAAGTGAAGATTAAAGCACATATGTTAAAATTTTACTATCAACCAATGATTTGTATACATCCATAAGAAAAATGCTTATATGGCTAAAATATACATCTAATTCGGTGTAGGTGCCCCATCACATGAAAGAGAACAAAAATGTTGAAAGAAGAATTTTTACTAATCCAATCTCTTAATGCCAGCTGCGAACAAGGGTTCACTCTACTTCACTCGTCAGAATCGACTCATAGTTACTTTAAGCTTTTATTTTCTTTGACAGAAACGTCAAGTAACTATTTAACTTAGTTGTACTTTTGAACGTATTCTATTCACAATTGATACGAAAATTAAAAAACTAGTTTTTACTAAAGCTTTTCTTGAACTTATTAAATTTTTTTTTTGGTTAAGAAACTTGATTTCTCCTTATTGCATTCAACAACCCTTTCTCTTTTCTTGATAAAATATTTTTACTAGTTTGACTAGTAGTTATTTTCCTTGATTACACAATTCAATAACTTAAAACTACTACTAGTCTCACGCTCTTCCACAAATTCAATGCAAGCTTTAATATGGTTTTTGGCATGGCCTCTCTCCCCTTTCGTTTCCTCAAGTAGATTCTTTCTTCTTAAAGTCGTAACGTAAATTTATAACACTCTTGCTTTTTCCATAAAAACGTTCCTTACATTTATTCTCTGCCAACACCCACAAACACTATCGTTGTCATCTTCTTGTTTCACTTTCATTTTCTGAGCAATTCAGTTTCCATATTTTCCAAACCTTTTTAATTTTCTCTCTTTTGTGGGTTTGTTGAAGATCCACACAAACAAGCTTCCCCCATTTTTGTATTTGCTTTCGACCTTTATGTTATTTTCTTGAGGTCTTGGGTTTTCACCGGAAAAAGAAGGAAGGATATAGAAATATGGCAGGAGCTGGCGGAGAAAATGATAAGCCGCCGCAGAGACAGGACGATCTTCAACCTCATCCGGTAAAGGATCAACTTTATGGTATCACTTACTGCCTCACAAGTCCTCCTCCTTGGCGTAAGCTCTTCCCACATTTTTAACTAGTCATGATCAAAATTTGTCAAAATGACTAGAGATTTTAACCATTTTTTTTTTTGGTTTGGATCAGCGGAGACAATACTTTTGGGGTTTCAACACTACTTAGTGATGCTTGGAACGACTGTTCTCATTCCAACAATGTTAGTTTCAAAGATTGATGGAACAAACGTAAGTCTTTTTGTAGAAAACTATTACATTGATAATATAAGACTCTCAGGTCTATAAAAATTGTTGTCTTTTGTCTCTCTGACTCAAATGCAGGAAGATAAGGTAAAGATGATTCAGACATTGCTCTTTGTGTCTGGACTCAACACGTTATTCCAAAGCTTCTTTGGGACTCGTCTTCCTGCTGTCATTAGTGCTTCTTACACCTATGTGCCAACCACAATGTCAATCATCTTAGCTGCTCGTTACGATGACTTCACGGATCCTCAGGAGGTTGGTGAAAAAAATCAAGAAATCATATATTTTCTCTTTGTTTTGTGTAAGTTTGGTTACTAATTGAACTAAGTGTTCTTGTTTTCTTGATGCAGAAATTTAAAATGGTCATGCGTGGAATCCAAGGTTCTCTTATTTTTGCCTCATTTCTTCAGATTCTTGTTGGTTTCAGCGGTCTTTGGCGAAATGTAGCAAGGTTAGAATATTGCTTACATATAAAACAGAGACTCCTCTGTTTCCTGATGATAGCCTTTTCTGGTCTAATTATTTAGTGCTTGTTTCTCTTGTTTTAGGTGCTTGAGTCCCTTATCAGCAGTTCCTCTTGTAGCATTTGCTGGCTTTGGACTCTATGAACAAGGATTCCCTATGGTATGTATACATATATACATAGAGTTTGCACTCTAGCTCTGTAGTTTTACTTTAAATTCCTGAGTTTTTGTGTTCTGCTCATTACAGCTAGCAAAATGCATTGAGATTGGACTGCCTGAGATCATACTAGTTTTCATATTCTCACAGGTTAATATGCTCTTCCCATAACCTGAAATAAACCCATTTTTCAAATTGTTACTAAAGGTGGTTTTAAACCATTTTCTTGGTGTCTGCAGTACATTCCTCATCTGATGCAAGTAGAAAGATTCTCCATCTTCTTCCACCGGTTTTCTGTGATATTTTCAGTAGCCATTGTATGGATTTATGCTTCCATTCTCACCATTGGAGGGGCTTATAGTAACACAGAAATTAATACTCAAAGCAGTTGCAGAACCGATCGCGCTGGAATCATTAGTGCCGCTCCATGGTATATAAGATCATAGAAACTTATCTTCATCTTCTTTTGGTTATGTAGACCGGTTTAGAATACTAAGCCTTTTGATGAAGGATTCGAGTGCCTTATCCTGGGCAATGGGGAGCTCCAACTTTTAATGCAGGCGATATTTTCGCTATGATGGCTGCTTCTTTCGTTTCTCTTGTCGAGGTCTAACTCTAAATCTCTCTGGCCTTTTTTACTATATAGCAATGTTAAAAAGCTTGAGGCTTACTTCATGTGTTTGATTCTTGTGAATTGTGATCAATAATGGAACAGTCTACTGGGACATACATTGCTATATCGAGGTATGCAAGTGCAACACCAATCCCACCTTCTGTGCTGAGCCGTGGAATCGGTTGGCAGGTTAAAAAATTACCAAGAATCTCAATAAAGGCTTAAAATATATCTATATTGAATCGTCAAAACAGTCTCAATGCTAATGTGGTTCTTCTCCGACTATAAGGGATTTGGAATTCTTCTCTGTGGATTCTTTGGAGCAGGAAATGCAACATCCGTGTCTGTGTAAATACAGTTTCATCTCTAAACTCCAAAAACATAAGAAAAAGCATAAAAATACTTCCTTATACAAAATCAACAAATCTTTTTCAGATCTTGAAACCGTTTTTGGATGATTCTTGTAGGGAAAATGCTGGTTTGTTGGCTTTAACAAGGGTTGGTAGCAGAAGGGTAATTCAAGTATCAGCTGTATTCATGATCTTGTTCTCCATTCTTGGTAATTCTTTCAGCTTCCATTGCGCATAAATATTCAGTTCTGGAGCAGTGTTACATACATAAAACCACTTGACCAGGCTTCATTTTTAGGTAAATTTGGGGCCATATTTGCTTCGATTCCAGCTCCTATCGTGGCAGCTCTCTACTGTTTGTTCTTCTCATATGTTGGTACAATTCTTGAAACTACTGAAACAGAGTGTTCTGTTTTTCTTGAAACCGCAGTGGATATATCTCTTGGCTCAACACCAATTTTTTTGTGTTTGCAGGTGCTGGTGGTCTAAGTCTTATCCAGTTCTGCAATATGAACAGTTTCAGAACAAAGTTCATTCTTGGATTCTCCATCTTCATGGGCTTATCAATACCACAGTACTTCTACGAGTACACAATTACCAAAGATTATGGACCCGTCCACACACCCGCAACTTGGGTAAAACAATTGAAATTGCATCGTTTTGACACCAATATCATCGGATAAAACTAATCCTCAATTTTTTTTACTTTTGTTTTTGTTTTGTAATTGCAGTTCAACAACATCATAAACGTTCCTTTCTCATCTAGAGCCTTTGTATCCGGGATTTTGGCCTTCTTTCTAGACATGACATTGCCTCCCAAGGACAAGACAACAAAGAAAGATCGAGGACTAGTATGGTGGAAGCGATTTAGATCGTTCAAATCCGATAACAGAAGTGAAGAGTTCTACTCTTTGCCTCTTAATCTCAGCAAATACTTTCCTTCTCATTGAGTAAATGACATTAATACTTTTAGAACCAGAGTTTAATCGACTCAATAATTAATGTCTTGTTTACTGAACTTGTTTCAGTACTGATCTCATCTCACATCTCTACTTGTGTCCTCAAAATAAAACCAATGAGTCCCCTTCAAAACGTTAAGAACTACTGTTTTGCTCTCATTCATTTTTAAGTGGTCCGATAACGACTTGGAATCTTGCTTAAACAGATCCTTGGTTTTCAATATCCAATCAGTAAAGGTTAGACAATTACCTTGTCTAAATGGTCTGATTAATGCATGGTACAATTACAACAGTGGAAGGTTGCTTAGTTAGTTAGTTTAGCGTCGTTTTGCTTGTGCCAGACATCTGAATATCTGATCAAGTGTTTGAGTATTCAAATATTAAATGATCATCTATCAATGTTGTTTACAATTCTAAATTCTGATAATGATGTGCTTTTACTATTACAAGGAGACTAATTTTAACTTTTTGAGAAAAGCACACACAGTCTCACTTCTTATTGGATTCATGTTCATGCATGTGATTAGAGTACGTTCAGTAGTAACTAATTGGGATTCGAATTGTTGGATATATTCATTGATTAAAATGGTTAGTTTACTAGGTTTTGTTTGTGTTTAACGGAAAGGTATTTTATTTCAACTTACGATGTTATCAAAAAACTGACGATCGATGTTTGGCCCTAACGAAAAACGAAGGGACGACAGATATATTATTCAGTATTCACAATCTTAAATCTTGGTTGCCGCATAACGTGATTCGGTCTCTCTATAGTACTTTACATAATATTCTAATTAATTAATATGCTATATGCACAAGAAATAAATTAAACACGGTTTTTTTAACATAACTAATGATTAAAAAGATCTACGAAATAGTAATAAAATTGTCCTTTATTTACATCTGCGAGTAAACCATAGAAAGAATTGGAGTTTCTCTCTATTAGTGTCACGCCTGAGAAACACTTTAGGAAAAGAGAAGAAAATAACAGATAAATATGAATTGATGATAAATGATAAAACTATGTTTTCTCTTTTCTTTTCATGGAAGGAAGTGGATTATACAGCAATTAAGGGAGATGCATGTTTATATATAATTAAAAAAAAAAAGATATTTAGTGGAAATGCATCGGATCTTGCGAAAGATTAAACAAAAGTCTTCATTACGTTTAATGTTGTTAAGTAGTTTTAATAATGAACGTTCTCTTTTCCCCGTTGAGAAGAACAGTCTCTTGTTTTGCCCTATTACAAATTGTTAGTAGTAATCAGAAATCTAAATAATTTACATTACAAAACCATTCTAAGTATGGTAAGTAATTGAACATTACAAAGGAAAGGTTTGACAAAAAAAAAATACGTGCTAGATAAGATGATTCAATATGAATTTTAAGTATAACTCCAAAAAAAATGGATATCGATCTAAAATAATTCGAACATCACCAAAGTAGTAAAACATAGACAATATATAGCTAAAACAAAGCAAATCAATGATAGCAAATTCAGAAAGCTTGGACAGTTTGCTATGTTTTGTATGCTAGATTTACTTACTGTAGTAGCATGCACCATCTTGATCATCCTTCTCATTTGTCTCGGCGTCGACACCTGTCCAAATCTAACCGACTTTTAAAATTCGGACCATCCCCTAATGCCTTATTCAATTCCCAAAACATGAAAAGCAGTTTTACAATAATTTTATACGTCCCACATATATTACAGTCGAATCTACATTAACCATAAGAATAATAATACACTTTTATATATAACTGTACTCATAAAAGTCATAACAATAAAACCATAATATAATATTTTGGAATTTCACATGCTTTATAACCAAAGCTAAAGTGAGAGCAGAGTGTGTGGAGACCTACCCTCGCCGGAAAACAAAACCACTTTTTTTCACAGAGTCTCTTTACAACTCTGTTTTTTTTCTCTCTCTTTTCTTTTCTCTTAATCATCATCAAAACATAGTTCTTTTTTTCAGTTTCCTTCTGAAAATGGGGAATTGTCAGGCGGTGAACGCGGCGGTTCTGGTTTTACAGCATCCCGGCGGGAAGATTGATCGGTACTATGGTTCTGTATCCGTCACGGAGGTTATGAGTATGTATCCTGGCCACTACGTCTCTCTCATTGTTCCTTTGACAGAGGAGGAAGAGAAGAATATCCCGGCGGCGGTGAAAGGAGAGGATAAGAAACAGAGGAAGGCTGTGAGGTTTACACGTGTTCAGCTTCTACGTCCGACGGAGAATCTCGTGCTCGGCCACGCTTACCGCCTCATTACTTCACAAGGTTTCTTCTTTTCTCTCTTTCTTATGTTTTATATTCGTGTCATTTTGAAAATTTATGATATTGAATATTGTAAATTCACAGAAGTGATGAAGGTTTTACGGGAAAAGAAATGTGCCAAGACGAAGAAGCATCAGATTGAGACGACAACGACAGTGAAAAAGAAGTTGTCCGAGAAGAAAGTTCCGGTATGTTCCCTAACTGATCGATCTGGCTAAATAACTTTGAGAGATTTCAATGACAAGTCTTACATGGGACTTTAATTGCTTAATAAAGATTTATCATTACTCCGTTATTTGAATTGTAACGTACAAAATTTGTCATCTTTTGGGGTTGTGTTTTTTTCTTTATGGTAGGAGAAGAAACAAGGGAAGCAATTTCGTGTGTTAACGAACTCAACTTCCCTCTTAAAGTCCAAAACATGGAGGCCCTCTCTTCAGAGCATCTCCGAAGCTACCAGCTGAATGATTTTGTTTTTGTTTGAGAGACAAGACAGTATCTGGATCTAGAGTGGAGAACCTGATCCGGAACCTTACTGAATAAATTTTGGTTCCTTTCCCTTTCTTGTTTTTTTTTCCTGGTGTTGACAGAGGATGCAGTCTAGATCAAGATGTCAACAGAACAGAGCTTCTTCTTCCTTTTTTTCTCTCTATCGTCGATGTATATATTTTCGCAGATGGAGAAATCTATGGAAGTTTGTAAGAAGTGTGGTTTTTTGTTGATACCCAATCAATTCAGAGGAAACAGAGCTTCTGAATTAGAACAATAAAGAGCTTTTTATTATCTTTCATTCTCTCTTATTTCTTGTTACACCAAAATGTTTAATATATATATATATATATATACATATGAAAAATGCCTTCACAACATAGTAATCTTGAATCAACAACACCTAACATAACTGACGTACTTCGGTTCTAATTTGATACATTCGAAGAATGGATTTCACAATGAGGTGAAAACAGTTGATTCGACAAAAGATTATAACAACAGAGCTTATTAACTACCAAAATCCGCAAAATTCAGAGTTTTACTGATCACACATGTATACTCTGATACATCACTACTGAGCTAAATAACTAGACGGACTATATTTTGATGCTTGGAGGACTAATCAGTACCGGTCCACTCCTTCCAGTCTTTGTCTACATGATTCTGAGCCCATTTAATAGCTGCTCGTGCAGCTTGTGGACCTCCAGGCAATTCCCTTTCATTGAGAGTATCTGCCATGTCAATGAAGGGTATGACCAAGAGTGTACCAGGTCCTCCATACTCACTGCGCAAGAACGTCCCAAAGATCTGTCATGAACCACAATGGTCCAAAGCAAAAACCGTTAAGTTCCGAGTCTCATGCCAAGATATATAACCGATTTAGAGAACTGTTTTAAGGAATCACACAACAATCACTTCAATACGATTTTTGGTAAACCAGATTCACCAAGGCTCTTGTTTATGAAAATCTACCCTCTTATTTTCAAACCATACTGACCTTTTGCTGACCTTTCTGCATAATTAAATTATCTAAAACAACTTCATATAAGATGAATCAAGATTCTAGTTCAGGAAACACAAAACAAGATTTAAAGGATTTGTAACTTCTTTAATCTAGTGTATTTGCAAGTCACATGTCAAAACAATTCAGATAGAATGAATCAGAATCTAGTTCAGAAAACACAAAACAAGTTTTGAAGCATTTCTAACGTCTTTCTCTATGTGCACATGTCTAAACAGAAGCTGAGACTAAACAAAACACCACTTTTGAAAATCCATAATTGAAGACATTTTCACATAGACACACATGTGTGGAAGTGAGAAGATTTAAGATTAACCTCAGTGCAGATTCCAACAATTTCATCAACAGAGTCTTCAAAAAGATCCCTTGTGGATAGTTTCTTTAGCATATGGTCCCTAAATTTCTCAGTCTCCTGGTATCACCCATCAATTAGGTTTCAATCATCCATAAGAACAACCTACCAAAATTGAGTTTTTTAAAAAGGAAGCAAAAGTAGAAGAGGAAATGAGCTCACAGCTTCGGCGAATTCAGGTATGGGATCTGGAAACTTGTACTCGGCAGCTTTGCAAACGAAACCTCTCCGGGATAGGGAAGAAAGAGAAAAGTCCCTCAATTTGGTTCTACAACGCTGTTTAAAAGAAGACTGGCTCGATTTGATTGCGCAAGATACTGCAGCTGGTGAAGAGATAATTGGTAGAGCGCAACGGAAGGATGAAGAAGAAGAAGAGATAGAGGAAGATGAATTGACGACTTGAGGAAGCCGTGCAGAGAAGAGAGCTTCGTGCATAGAAGAAGCCATTACTACAGTGTGCTTCACTCTTCAACCTTATCCTTTTCTCTGCAAAAAAAAAAAAAAAGCTGAGGGTTTTAGCGAGGTTTCATTTCTATTGAATAAAGATTTTAAGGGTCAAAATATAAGAAATTAAAAGATTTTCAGAGTGAAAAAATAAAAAGGAAACCTGTCAGACCGCCGTGCGACCACCCCGGCAAGGTAGAACCGAGCCGAGTAACGATCCTCTACAGCACCGGATACATCCGAGGACGATCGTAGCCGTTAATCACGCTCTGATCGCACGGTCATGGTTCATCAACCAGGGTTAAGGGCCTGTCTCCATAGAAATCAAGGATACAGAGGTACGAGCCTATAGAACAGATCCTGTTCAAGTAAGGTCGTGACAATTGTTGTTTTCTGCCCATATATAAAGACGTTTCTCTTTCACAGGCTTGTCGATGTGGGACTTTGACACTCTTATTTCCAGACTAAACCACACATGCTCTGACACGTGTCATTGATTAACCTTTTTTTTTAACAAAACATATAAGTGTCATTGATTAACTGAAAAAGGAAAATAAATCTGAAAATCTGAGAGATCAAAGTTTCCTCATAGGCTTTTTGAGTTAACAACCTTAAGATACACAATACATCATACCCATCTATATATAATTCAGACGTCCCTGGATATGTAATTACAAAAAGAACCGATTAAACTATAGAACCTATCCAAACGGGCAAAAGAAAGAGTTTTGTTCTTTAGCTTAACTGTCAATTATCAAAGGCTTTCCCTTTGGTGATGCCTTAGAGATTCCTCTCGTGTGTCTCGAGCCAAGGAAATCCTAAGAATTCGAAAACTTGTTTCTCCGTTGAGAGTTTCAGACTTGCAGTTCCTCTAGCACCCTGAGAAAGATACATTATCACAGCTCTATAAATTTATCATTCATTCACTTTAGAACCATAAGTAGTAATATACAAAATACTGTATTCGCTTATCTCCCTTACCCGGTTACCACTAGAGCTGTGAGTAGCCGGGAATAGTCCAGTGTCATCAAGTCGATAGCCTTTGGATTCTGCTAGCAATCTCAGCCTGTAGTTTCCATGGCATATAAATATGTATGCGTTTTTTTCCTTTACCAACAATGTATTTGGTGATATTCAGATGGATTATATCATATTCATACCTTCTGTTCAGCACGTCATTACCCGTCCAGGCTATGAGTCCAAATGCATAGATATCCCTTGGATAAACCTGTGATGAATTTATGACCTATTGTTATTGAATGATTTTCTGGGAAGAGATCAACCAAGACATAGCTGAATCAATCATGGTGTTGTTCTTTTCATCCTATGATTAACCAACTTAGAGCTTTTTTTCAATAACCGTGATATGGGGAGTTTTCAGGTGTTACCTTAAAATCAATACGGCGCCGTAGCTCCTGACCAGGATAAGTGCACAGGCCAAAATACGTGTCAACGCCTGAATCAGTACCCTGCACAATGAAGGCAATCATTGAGGAGAACTGTGATTATCTTGGGCGAAGAAAGCTTTATCTAATGCTAAAAGATATCATTTTATATGATACTAAAACAATTGAAGGAATGTGTTTTTGATGATTGACATACCAAATGCAGAAAAAAATGGAATATAACAAAGTTACCTCTTCACTGTGGGTGCTGAAGATAAGATCTTCTCTTAGGAAGTTTATTTCTTTTAAACGCTTTACAAACTTTGTCAAAAATCCCTTGTGACTAGTCAGGAAAATAAGCAAAAACAGTTTAAGTGAACTTTGCTACTGGAAACTAACCCAGGAAGTTGACTTACGAAGATTGTAGGTACCTTTGTCCATCAGGATGTGTGATAACGATATCTAGATCTCCACAAGTAGCTTTCCCGCGTCTGTATGATCCTCCACATACAATATTCACCTGCAGTCAAGATGTTTTGATGCCATTGTTAGGATTCCACTATACTTTTATCACCCAAGTATGGAGAAAACCGATAAACTAAAAAGTTCATACACCAGGCAAAGTTTCCTCGCCGACTCTCTGTAGAAGTTGTTCCATCTCTTGAACCTACAATACAAAAAGTGATGAAATATGAGGAGAAAAACTAACATGAAGGATGATAAAGACAAAATAAATTCACATTGAAGTCTAATGATCACACCTCGTGACGTGGAATTCTTGTTCTGATATCATCAAAATATTTCAACCCCAACCTCTGTGCATGTGTTAGTGAATCCTCGTTCTTCAAGTCTTCTAGTGTGCGATGTCCTTTCTCATATAGCTTGAGTGCAGTTGCAGGACCGATACCCCAAACTTCCCCAAACAAACTGATTGTACGAACCTTCAATCAAAGTAAGGAAACATATAACTGGTAACAGTTAACGTTGGAAACATTTCAGACATCTCTAGCTTAGGTCATGGACAGTATCTTTTTCAAGGAAAAAAGGAAAAGCAAAGAAAATTGCCTGAAGTGGCCTCTACATGTGAGCTTGTCTATAACTGAAAATGGAAAACAATTAACTAACTTTAATTAACCTAGGATTCAAAGTTACCTTTTCATCTGTTTCAAAATGTTCCAATTTGGACAACTTCCCTGTTGTCACAATCTCTTGAATCTGCCAAACTCAGGTAGAGGAATATAGTTTAGTTCTCAGTTCTCACAGAAATACATATAGGTTATGGATAGTCACTCGGAAAAGAGAATTATTTGGTGTATGCAGTGCTTATCAAAAAATCCACGAGCATGAACGGGTTGGTGTATGCAGTTTTTACACCCACATACACAAAATATATGAAGCATTTCTTCACTTACATGATCTCTCATTGACTTTCCAATTCCAGGGAGGTGCTTGAGCTGATCAACGCTTTCAATCCTAGTGGGGAACTTTTCAATGACAGGGATAGCTTTGTAATAGCTAAAGGACCGCCTATCTTCACCCAAAGCTATTAACAGATAAGAAAGAGTTATGTTACTTCCTACAAGAGAGCAGTTTTAAAAAACATACACCAGAGATCCTACCTCTATAAATGTTTATTAGCTTTCCAAATATCTCAGTGATATTTCTGTTCAAATCAGGTGGTTTGTACACCGATGTGGACTATAAATCAAAAGAAGATTAATGAAAAATTTCAGTAGCAACAACGTTCTTTCTGAAAGCGCAGAAAAAGTAAACAGCTTAAAAGTATAGTCAACTTCCTAAAACCAATAGTCAACTTCCTAAAACCAATAAGTTATCATCAGCAAAGGAGTCAGTCAGGCTTACCTCTGATTGTGGACTAGTCGGAGTGTCTACAATGCCTTCTCCAGGACTGGCACTAATAGAGGGAACACTGCAACTTGTAGGTGAATCTGGTGATCCTTTTGTATATTTTTGGTTTTCTAGACCTTTGAATTCACCAGCATCAGGGGAATATCTAGTACGTTTTGGAGTTGACGGTTGATCTTCACCACCACATGCTGCAGGTAAAGACTTGTCTGTCTCTTCCATATCTTCTGAGTCAATTTTGAGAACATACAAGTCTTCATTAGCCTTCTCTCCTGCGATTAGGCTATCTTCTAACCACTGGTAAAGCATAAGGCGCTGCAAGGAAAAGCCAATGTATAAACCCTTCACCATTTGCTCAAAGTAAAATTCAAGACAAAAAACAATAGAAATATCAGATCAACAACAATGGCTACCGAAGACTAAAGCGACATCTCAAACACATAAATGTCGAATATATAGTACCAAACCTGATTTCAGACAGTTCATCAGAAGAAACAATAGCAATGCGACTGAGTTAAACCAAACAAGGAAGAACCAAATCTTAACACTTGAAAGCATTGAACTTTGTGTTCCCAAGTAATCTAATCGTTGTGGACAACTCATGAACAACACACAATAGATAGTAAGGAAAGATTGTTTTATTTAATGATGAAATCCATGTTTTAGTAAGACGTGCAGAGAGCTGAAGAAGAAAAATAGAAAAGCCAACTCACTCCAGTGAAATGCGAAAGACGTTTCTTCCCAAATTTCTGGACAAGAGCTTCGGGGTTCATAGCAAGAAGATGAGTGACTTTCTTCGTTAACCGACCCTCCTCGATAACTGCACCCATTTGAACCAGCTTCTGCTTCCAGATCTTCCATTCGAGTAGAGAATAAAAAGACATAGGCATGCAACAATCAGAATGATGTTCAAGAGAATGAAGTAATCAAATTGAGCAAAAATTATTTTCTCGTTTTTTGAGAGTAAAACCTGCAATCGATGACGCTGGACTCCGATTTCGACCATAAAAACTACCATTCCGGCGAACATCCCCTCCGGGTCCGGAGAAGGCGACCGGTTTCTCCCTCGCTTTGCCGCCATTTTCTTGCTCACTCGGGTTTTTTTTTTCCTACTTCTCTCTACAGAACAGAACAGAACAGAGATTTTTTTGGGGTCTTTCAAAGCAGGGTACCCAATTATGCTGGTTTTCAGCGAACCGAATTCGAAACCAGACCGAGATAACCTCTCCTAAACCGGATTTAATTATTAAACTTTAGATGTCTTGATCACACTCTTGAACGATCTTACTACGTCTCTTTTGTTTCGGCACACCATTTTTCATGAAACTTTCTTTTCAATTAAAGCTGAACCGTACGTAAACTCACCAAAAAAAAACAGTTTTTTTTTTCTCTCGTTTAAAGCATCCCATCCCACACGTCATAAAGAATGAGACGACAACTAATGGTGCAAAAATTATAGAGTGACAAGTCTTCTTTCACTTCAGTTGTCTCTCTTAGAAGAAAATTTCTACTTCCTTTTCAGTCATCTCAAGAACATGATCTCTTGCGTCCGTGAGAGCACTCTGGGATCAAACAATTAGCATATTCTCAGCACACCAGAATTCTTTCATGAGGAAACCTGGAAAGACATATGTTCTTCTTACCTGTCCAAACTTGGTGATGAAGTTGTTCCCCAGGTTTATCGATGTAACCGTCACATCTTCATTGGCCTTTAGCGCTTGAGCAATTGCGAATGCCCCATCATCCTGCAAATGAGTCAGGATTATAAGATCGAACAGCTTACACATTTTTATAAGAATACACAGTATTGTTGAAGTAGCGTCTTTGTTACCCGTATTTCATTGAATCCTAGATCCATGGATGTCAGAGCTTCATTAACTACTTTCAAGCTCCGAGCTAAGCATGAAGCTCCCTGTAAATAACAATCATTTACAAATATGAAAAATACATATTTGGTAGAAATATTCCAAGTATATATATATAACAAGCTGAATACTAATAACATTTGTCTGAAAAAACCTCATCTCTAAGTCCATTTGCCCGCAAGTCCAAAACCGAGATCGTGTTGTTATATCTCAACATGTCTGCAACATGTTCAGCACCCTTAGCAGCTATCTGCAGGACATAGGAATGAAAATCAAAAATGATTAAAAGAAAAAGAAAAAGCAATCGTGAAAGTATTTATTTTTATAGACAAAGAGTTATGGGCATGCTTTACCTGGCACCAACCAAGTTTGAGCGTCTTTACATTTCCATGGAACTTGAGAATTTCAGATAATGCTTTAGCTCCGTCGGGTCCTATGGGATTATAACCAACCTCTAACTGAGGATATAATGAGAGTGACGGTGTCATTATCACCCAAGTTATAAGTGAATAAGGAAACAAAGATGAGAATAAATTTTGGCACTAACCGTCGTAATAATTGCATTATCTTTCAGCGCTTGAGCTATTGCATTAACTCCCTCTGCGTGTATGTTATTTCCACCCTAGTTTACAAAAACGCATTAGCAGAACAAATAGCTAGATTTGCTGGACGCAAGGTAAAACCTAGGGAGACTGGAGAAGATGTTCACTTCTCACCAGGTCAATAGTTACAATCGAACGGTTTTGCTTCAGTGCATCTGCAATCTTTTCAGCTCCCTGAAACCATTGAAAATCGTTTAGATAGAGAACAGAGCAAAAAGACAAGTTTTTCCGATATTAGAGAAGTAACAGACACAATCCAGCTCCATTGTTAATTTGTTATAGATTGGATGTATGTACCTCATCGCCTATATCATTCATGTACATGTTCAGCCAAACCAAGCTCTTGCTTCTCTTGATGTATTCTGCTACATAGAAGGCACCCTTTGCGGTGATGGAGTTGTTACCGAGATCTAGCAAAGCCAGTTTCCCTGCACACAAAAATGCATCTCTGTATAACTACTGAATTATAAAGTAAATGTAAGGAAGGGTTACTATAGATGTATGAAGAGTGTTATATTCAAAAACCTTTGTGGGAAGATAGACCAGCCATCAAAGCACGAATCCCTTCGTCTCCAATAGAGTTTCCATGTAAATGAAGTTCCTGCGGGTAGAAAGGCCAAGGGAATCAATTGTTGATGACATTAAAACATTGGTTGTCTTTTTTTTTTTTTTCTTTTTTTGTCTTTAAAACATTGGTTGTCTTTAATGATATCAGAAATTACATTTGATGTATCATATAAGATAATACATCTAACTATGAAATGTTTCTCTTGATACAAAAATGTTATACAATATACACAGAAAGAGTCATGAGGAAACTTTGTACCCGTAAAGACTTGTTACCCTCAATCCCTTTAGCTAAAGCATTGGCACCCAAAGCACCACCATAGTTTCCACTGAAGCAGATTATCCATAATTCAGTATGTCAGGGGCATGAACTATATAGAAAAAATAAAAAAGCAAGCTAATAAGAAAACATCCACCTATATTGTCCTGAACTCACTTTAGATGTAAATTGCGTATTGTATTATTCTCAGGAAGAGCCCCAGCAAGACTTGTGAAACCCTACCTCCATTTCAAAAAATGAAATAAGGGTAAAAAGACAACAGATTCAATTCATAAACCTGGGTGACTACTTAAAAAATAACGATACAACACATGAACAGAAAGAACTTACAGAATAGTCAATCATGTTATTATTCAGCTCAATAATCCTCAAGGTTGAATTTCTCTTCAACAACTCTGCAATTTCCTTTGCACCCTGCGCAGAACATTGGAACTACTTAAAGCATGAAACGTAAAAAGGATTGTGACTAACTTAGGAGCTTGAAAAGCTTGTCAATCAAAGCATCTACTCAAAACAAACCTCATCTCCTATATCAGTACTGTTTAGCTGAAGTATCTCGATGCTAGAATTTTCCATCAGTGTAGCGCATAAAGTCTGCCATTACAATAAAAAATGAAGGGAAACCATTCTCAGCAAGGAACGTACACATAGATAATAAGCTCCATGTTATTTTAGAGCTAAAGATATCGGCAGAAATCAATATGTTCTCCTCTCTTGATTGAACTGAGGATTTTCCTACCATCAGAAACGTATTTAAATATAAAACTAGTATATCATATTTCCACTAACCTTTGCTCCTTCATCACCGATGGGGTTTCCAGAGAGGTTAAGTACTTTCAACATAATATTTGATTGAAGAACACCGTCAAAGGCTTTAACTCCTGCAGCTGTAATTCCATTTGCAGAAAAACTGACTTCCTCTACAGTCTGAAACACAAACATGGATATGTTTACGCAATCAACATAAGAATATCAGGACTCTAATGAGTTGGCAGATAGAAGATGTGAAAGCAAAAGAGATCTATAACCTGATTATACCCAAGGCTTTCAGCAAGAAAGAATAATCCTTCATCTCCAAAGTTGCATCCTGCAATATAATACACACAGGTGAGCTATATCAATCGGCTCTACACACACTCATGAACTTCAGCTATATCTCTTAAGACAAAAAGATGGCACTACCGATCACATTTAATTTTCATAAAATTGTCTGTCCCGGCAAGAAAAATTTCACATTTAGGGAAAAGAAAACTACAATCAGCAATAAGTAATGTCATAACAGCTAAATCATTCAATGCACCTGACATGTCAACACTTCTGAACGACCTGAGTTCCTTAGCAAATTCATTAAGCCTCTGCTTGGCCTCTCTATCAACTTTCGCAGCAAATCCTTGTAACAAATTAGTACCGGCCCCAATCGACCATTTCACTCCCTGTGCAGACGATTTGTTTTCTCCAGCAGACGTCTTTGGAGACTTTGGAGACATGAACTTCTCAACCACTTTCCACAAAACTGTCAGCTGAATACACAAATTAGTATCGAAGATTTGAGATAAAAGACGATTTTTTTATCATTAGTATCCCTCGTATTAATAGCAACTACCGAATGTACCAAACTACTTTCCTCTCAGTTACTTACACATGAAAGGAGAAAACGCAGTAATTCCAAATTTTGAGAAGTAAAGGATAAACAAAACTAGCTCTCGTAGCAATGCGCGTACCGAAAGTGACGACAGCAAATGAGCCCAAGGGCAAGACGGACGATGCAATCTGCTGCACTTTAGCATTAGGAAAACCACTAGCCGCCTGTGACTCCTTATAAACCCTACTACGCTTCGGTCCCCCCTCTGAGTTATACGACGCTTTGATCGCCGGAAGTCTCGGACTCCGGTGAAGAAACACCACCGGAGAAACAAACAATCGGTTTCTAGAAACGGAGCTACCCAAAAATTCGGAACGCAACCCACTCCTCCATTGGCCAAACCCAGAAGAAGCCTTCAAATTTCAACGAGAAAACGGAATTAGGAGCCAAAAGTAAGTAAAATAGAACAACTGATTAACAGTAGAATCACTACCTTGGGAAGAGAGTGGAGATTGAGGGAGCTGGTGGAAGAAGACGCCATTAAAGAGCCACTTATTTATGCATAGACGCGTGAAATATCCACTCTGAGAACTGACCTCTGAAGAAGATGATAAGAGAGGAAGAGATTAAAGCGACGAATTACAGAATAGACGATGATGAAGATGAAGTCTGTTCCTTCGCGCTATGTGTGTGCGTGTGTCTTCCTTTGGGTTCGGGTATCACCCAACCCAACTCGTCTCCGGGTCAAAATCGGGTTTTAAATCTATGACCCGATAGTTTCGAAAGAGACCTGCTTTAGGGTTCATAAACAAAAAAATAATCAAATCACCTACCTGAAAACAAATAAAACATGTGGACTTAAAATTTTTGTTGAGCGCAAAGATTTGTTTTTTTGGGTCTTCTTCTATTACACGCATTTGAAAGTCTCAGCTCGGCGATTATGGCGTTTACTGGAATCATGACTTCCAATCCAACCTTTCTCGGGCTAAGGATCTCTAACACAAGTTTGCGTTCTGTGGTTTCATGTAATTCGATTTCATTCCCTTGTTTGTCATATGTGAATCTCAATCTCAATCTCAATCGGAGAAACCGTTTCTATGTTCGATCCACCTCAGCTCCAGGTTCGTATTTTGATTCACGAAATTGCTCTGCTTTATGTTTCGATGAGAATCCTTTTTATTTCATGGGTTGTTATTGCCATTCTAGTTTAAAAATCATCAATTTTTCCTCTGAAATTGGTAACTTTGATTGCTTATGTCTGAGGAGGATTCTAAA